GCCCTGACATCATCGCTGAAGTAAGGTTGACCTCCTATGACAGAATCATACTTGCGTTCCAATCAAAGTTCTCATCTGATTCAACTAGGCCATCACTCACGCCGTGTCAGAATGGAAAGTCGATATTATTTGCATGTCCTTTGGGTACCCAAAGCGCAATATAGATGGTTACGACCGGTTGAAAACTGCGCTCAAGGTAGCAGAAGCCAACAACGTATTGTTGTTCGCAGCTGCATCAAACAGTGGCGGTCAAGATACGGTTTCGTTTCCAGCTTGCGAATCGCAAGTTATAGCTGTCTACGCAACCGATGCAAGGGGCAACCAGTCCGACTTCAGTCCAACCGCGGCTCGATATCGGATATCTCTAGCAACCATCAGCGAGGCTGTCGAGTCAGCTTGGCCAGTTCACCTTTGTAATATTCAAGATTCCGCAACGCAGCTACCTTTGAAGTACAAGTCAGGCACATCTTTCGCGACACCTATAATGGCAGGTATTGCGGGGTTCCTGCTACTTTATACTAAGCTTCACATGCCCCGGTTATCAGTCAAGCTACAAGACCGGTCCAGGATGGAACTCGTCTTGAAGAAGGTTGCGGAAAAGGGGCCAAACTTCGAGCCCCGACACGGTTACTTTTTTGTTCACCTAAGTTTGACGACGGAAGGCTTATTCAGCAAGTCGGAAGACTTCATTCGCTCATGTATCGAAGAAGTATTGACAAATAATTAGCCGTGTGTAGTGATTGGAGAGGACATGGTGAAAGTCCATATTCTAGTAGACACATAATGGCAAACCGTAGGCACTAGCTTTGAATGTACGAATGATAGTTCAAGGTCTTCTCCCTGCCAATTGATGGAATAATGAGACATGCATTTCAAGTGAGTCGACTTGAGATGAGCAACATTTCATACTAATCCAATTGTTCTGACTTTGAGCGTCTCGGGTTTCAGTCTGAGAAACCCTTCTGGCCTTTATCTACGCTTGGTATGATCCAGATGAGTTCTTCTTCAAAGTCCATAAACCATCTGTCTTCACTTAAATCCGTGTCTACACCATCCTCTTCCCCAGGAACAATTATGGCCTGCCGCTCTTGTGGTCTCTCAGCCATATCTTCCATCATGGCTCCCTTGACATAGTCACTGTTTTCTTTCACCTTATCGGTCTTTTTCACGGCCACTTTACGCAGACGGTACGCAAACACGAAGTCATTAGTTCCTTCCCACTCGACCTTTTGTTTTGTCTCCGTCTTTATTCCGAACTCCGGCCCAACGCCCACAGGGACCCCACCCCACGCCGTGGCATCGACTTCGACCCCGAAACTTCTTTCAATCGCTCGAGTATGATTTGAACTAATCTCAGCACCTACGGCGATCTTCAGGCCCGTGATGACATAAACAGGCTTTCTGTTTCGAGACTTCATGAGGTATCGTTTGACTGGTTCCATGCAAATGCATTTCTCGAGATAGTCCAGAGTGGGTACGAATTGGACAGTTTGTAGGGAGTCAAAGGTGGAGAGAGCGTTATGACTAAAGTCAAGAAGTCGCAAGTTAGAAGCGGCCAACATTTTGAATGACACGAGGACAGTTGATGGGAGAAATGCACAACCCAGGGTGGGGGTGGCACGTGGGTTGGCAGGTGTTTAATCTCTCCGTAGAGAGTCGTTGATTCTCACCTGTTCTCCAAACTCACACTAGCGTCTGCGCCAACGCCAGTCACCATGCTTAAGAACTTGAAAAGTATTCCGAGCCTACGTTCTTTCAATTGCTTCGTAGAGAAAGAAAAGTTCCTTTGCTCTGTCGTGGCACTCGGCATTGCTAGGTTGCATAGCGGTTCTTGGGGAGTCTCGACGGAAGTGATGATATTGCCTAGTTGTATAGGACCCACCGGCGGGGGCAAATAGTCCCACGAAGGAGCAAGAAAGAAAGAAGGTGTTCGGGAAGCCATGATTGGCAGATAACTGAAGAATATTTCGGCGACTTGGGCTAAGGTGTAGGAATGAGATATTTACGCGCAGTGCGGGGTCAAAGGTGAAGCCGAAGGTAAGCAACGGGAACTTTGGTCACATGCCGGAAGCTTCGACAAATAGCAGTCCCAGTGTCAAAAGAAACAGAACCAATGACAGACGCCGATTCTTAGTCCTTCTCTTTTGTTGAGAACGTGACATGGTTGGTCAATAAGATGTGGGGGCAGAGACGCAGCCTGTAGGTCCTTGGCGTCTTGCAGATAGGCACACGACGCAGCTTGGTACTGGGGTTGCAATGTAAATTGACGGTCGTGAGTTTATGGAGGATTAGAAATGTGACACGGTTTTGTTGCCGTCAACTTCGACCAAAGCGCCCTTCGGCCACCCGGGTACCCCATCACTCACACCAACCATCTTTCATGTCCTTGGAGTGGTCATGTTTCCCGATGTACACGGCACTCACGGGAACTCCATGGCACTATAGGTAGCTCCAGTGTTGAGGGTTTCTCGTTTGTAAAAGTTCAAGACTCGAGTTATATGCAGCTAGGCCGTTATCCGAAGGGGAGCTGGTGACCTTCCAGATGATGCGGTCTCTTCCGCTATGGCGCACATACTTGAATGAATCCCGACATCCAATTGATGATCCCAGGTAATGATTTGAAGCCCATCGCTGCTGCTAAGCCAGAGGAGTTGTAGGGAATTGTTGCCCATAGAGACGTCGCTGCACACCATCTTCGGCCATCAGATGCATATTTGTCTCTCAGGGATGCCTCCTGCGCAACGGATTGGTCTAACTGTGAAGGCTTCGCCACCTGCTGCGAGATTCCTGGAAGCTAGAGACCAAGTTACGACTGGCATTCCCCTCATCATGAGGTCGTCCTTGGTATGAAAGGGAATATCTCCCAGCAGAGAGCAATTGCTGCCATGAACCCTCCGGTAAGTAATCATCAGAAGCCTCGGCATTCTCTAAAGAATTGGTGTTAAGGACTAAAATTACGTTAAGACAGTCAGTATGGTGGTCGTACTACGCAACCCAGCGAAGGTGTTTTGCGAACAACTAGACAGATTCTACACCCCATCCCTCGGGGAATTCTGCAAGTCTTCGATCGCAGACAATGGTTACATGCAGGCAGACGCTGTAGACAATGAGATCGAGGGCAGTGGATGGGGTGACACTTACAGTAGCTCTTGCAAGACATATGGAAGCACTTATCGCTAAGATGAAGAAGACAACGATGCAATTCTTCATGATTCCCACCTATCTTATTTCATTGTAGGATCAGCTGCTGTCGGGGATGTCAGACTCGACAGGGAAATGTAGGATAAGCTCTGATAGTGACTACGCAGAGTTTGAATCATTGTTGAACTCCAGGCTTTCGATCACCGCATGAATCTCGCGATTATCTCGCGCATCTCGCGCTTGTAATCACGCGTGTGGGTATCTCCCCGTGGTTCGATTCTGCCGTATGCCTAGGAGAGTTGTAACAATGCAGAGCGTTCCAATCCAAGAAAGACCCCCAGATGTTTCTTGGCTGCATGCCAACTCATCAGAATGAGAATAATTTCAAACGGACGGTGCGAATATGTCGTCTTAAATCCGTGAAGTCGGTCGTCAGCCAGTCGCAGCGGATGTGAGGGGCAGGTCTTGTAATTGGCTGAAGATCCTTATCAGCAAAGGATCATGCAGCCCTCCGTGCAGCAAGGATTGCCCAAGACGGCAGGCTCATATGTATTCTATTCGGCATGAATACTGCCGCTAATTCAAGATACTGATACCCAAATACCATCACTTCAAGCCCCGCTGATAAGGTTGTATTCTGAAGAGATCGTTGACCTCAACTTGCGCGATTTCCCCCGCCATTGTGTCTGAGGAAGCATTCGACCGCCGTGAAGCTCTCAGAGTAGTACAACAAGTAGTCCTATCATTGCGATAACCATCTTGGCATTACCTGCCAGCTTTACTCGATGTATATGGGTTGTATGCAAGGAAATCAGTGATGATCAACAGAGCATTGCAACTCAGTCGAGAAATCTGAACTGAGGATTAGGCGCAAAAGTTCCAGCTCGCGAGGTCTGGTGGCTTCTTAGCAGAATTTCCCTTAAGCAGCATTTAAGGCATCGAACTTGCAACCCATCTGGAGAGTCGCGTATCAAACTCGGCAACATACCAACATCACCTCGACTATTCTCTCGGCCGCTACCATCATGTTACGCATAATGCTTCCAGTGATCACATTGGCGCTTCAAGTTGTCTCAGTAGCCGGCGCAATCGTACCTGATATTCGCGCCGACACTAACCGCGATGGTGTCGTTGATATGGAAGGCGACTCCGACGCTGGAAACAAAGCCATCTGGACAGAAGGGAGGGGCGCCATATTCCTCCCCAATATCGGAGACAAACATTCAACATGCCCGAACACCGACCTAAACAGCATGCCACTTAGCAACGACGAATTAGCTTTCTGCAATGACGCATCAGGCCATATGCTATTAGCGCCGGAGTACGCTGCTCCTTTGAAGACGATGCCACTTCCGAGTATCTCCGATGGGGCAATAGCCCATGTGTACGCAACACCCCGTCCTGCGTATGAGCGAGTGCGAGTCTTTCTCCTTGACGATGTGGAAAGTCCCAACTCTACGAGCTCGTGGCGCCTGGTAGACAGGCAGTTCAACTTCAACGCAACTCAACTTCGGGCCGGTCTTACATTAGGAATCGATGGCCGTGAGTTTGTGAAAGATTCTGAAATCTGGGACAGTCATGTGACAATCAACTTCGATGTCTACGATACTCCAGGGTCCAGCAACTTCGCCAGGGACTCTGTAGCCTTGAAAGTGGCCCCAATCCTCACGCATCACCATTTGCAAAAGGTGGAGACGCTGGTCTCGACTTGGGCAAATGACACGAACCCTGTGCAGCAATATTTTATCGAGCAATTAGATGCGGCACGAAAGACCGTTAATATCAGCAATCCACTGTGACTTTTCAACCAGTCCTCTGACATCTGGGCTCAAGATGTTGTCGAACCGGCTTACGCAAGTATGCCTGGTCCTGATGGGCCCATTGCCATCCGCATCATGCTTCGGTCCGCGCAGTCCACTCGCACGGGAGGCCGACAAGTTTTTGAGCAAATGAGAGGTCCTGGCTTTGGCGCATTCCAACCTAGTGGCTACTCTGGTACTGGCTTTCCTGGGTCTGGATTTGGCTATCATACCATCAACAGCTACGGCAACCTTGAAACGATCCCACCCCACAGGTCCAAGCGCGGAATTGTCTACAAGGCCGGTCGTGTCATTCAAGGCAAGCACTATGACAGCTTCCCGGCTCAGGCAGTTCGGGACCTTATCTTCAGCAACGGTGTGCAGTCGACATTGTTCCTCGAGACAGGATGGCTCCGAGTTGGGCATGTTGATGAGTTTGTTCAGTTCGTCCCGTACGACAATGATTTGGGCTTCACTATTGCTATTCCCACCCCTGATCTCGCGATTAATCTTTTTCTAGAAGCTCAAGAAGCTGGTTATGGAGAGGCAATGGTTATCAGTTTCGACGCCCAGCCGCAAATTGACCGGTTCAAAGTGGACATGCCGCTGTATCTGAACCTCACCATCAACGACGTCTTAGCCAACGCCACATTTATGGAGATCAATGCATACGCCCAGAAGTGGATCAACCATAATCTCGATATCCTTCTCTCTGAGATACCACTTGATCGCGACGACGTCATACACGTACCCGGCCTGTTTCGCGATCGGTCCGGGGGTGGAGTCTATGTCAATTCTGACGGCCTAGACTTTTACTGGCCTCCTGTTTTGAAAGATGAACACCAACTTGGAGCTTTTCTTCCGGGTGCAATCAACGGTATGGTGGTCGGTGACCAATACTTGAGTCCGAACCCCTTTAGGCCTGTGATTAGCGGCGAAGACATTCTAGCGAAAGCCGTGAGAGCAGCTTATTCCCGCGCAGGGATGAATGTAACTTTCATTGATGATTATTTCAGCCATCATATTAGAGGGGGGGAGTTACACTGTGGTTCGAATACACTGAGACAAACTGACATAGCCTGGTGGTAGGGGGGTGCTTGGGTTTGTGTCTGTAGTTTGCTGTGTGGCGCGTGATGGTTGTTCAGTTTTGGCCTCTTTTTTGTCTCTCATGTTTGGCCCCACATGTTTTGGCCTCTTCGCTGAGGACGGACTTGGCAGACTAGGCAGCAGGTGGAACTCCTGCCGACAGACTCAGTGATGAGCACGAAACTTGGTTTAGTGACTCATCGTGTGCTTATTCAGTTTAAGAGTAGGACGATCTTTTCAAGGTCATTGTGTTATTTTGTCTGTGCGTGAATCGTCATGATAAAATCTCTGATGGAATTGACGTTGTATGAAGACTGTACGTGTCGCTTTCTCAGCCAATATCTCTGCTTTTCAATCAAATCTCAACTATCTTAACAATCCTTCCCGCCTCCCACATTTTGGCCAGAACCAACAAGCAGTCTCTTGCGACATGCACAGCTTCCCCCTCTTCTCCTTCGACGGGTGACATTCATTAGACGTTTCAACAAGATGGCGGAAGAATACTCCGAGCCCAGAACGAGCGTCTGGGAACAGACTGACAGCGATCACATATGTCAAATTTGCGGCATGAGGATTTACAGGAGCTGGTATGGTTGGTGGCGAGAAAATCCGCCACAATGGGGGGTAACAGACGAAGAGCTTCAGGAACAACTGAAATGGTGCAGCGACATTCGCTTACTCTGCGACCCAGACTGCGAATTCGAACAACTCCTCCCCGATTTTGAATGTGGCCAGATGACATGGGGCTTTCATGAAACTCGAGAAAGCCTAAAAGTACCGTCTGAGGTGAGACCCAGGTCTCAAGCTTCCGAGATCGAGGTATATCGCGGTGAGTATCGCTCAGGGCCAATTTTCACTCGGCTCACCCCCGATGGCAAACGCGACTTGAACATCTACATGGACTACTTCTTGGACTTGGGCGAACAGTCCTACGCTGCTGTACACACCGTTTGTCTGGAAATAGCGAAGAAAGTCTTCAAATCTTCTTCAGTTGCCCATGTCAGACATTTACGAGGGCTGTTCACTGCTCTTCGCTGGAGGGAAGGTATCAATTTCAAGTGCACCCACTGGTTCAATCCAGGCGTGAATTATTCTCTCGCTGAACATGGTTATTACCTCCCTTATCCAGAATGGGATGTAAACGACTTTGAAGGGGTGCACTGGCCTGGACCTCATTCGTCGACGAGAGCAAATGTTTCTCATGTGAGTACAACGCTTAAGACATGACTCTGTCCAGTGTTGACCATGACAGTCATTAGCTCAAAACCCTCTGGAGATTAAGAATCTCACTGGCTGTCTTCTTGAAAACCTCAGACCATGTCGATCACGTGTTAGCTTCACAGACGAGGCTGCCGGGGTTGCCGCAAACCTAAGCCGGATGCCCGGCGAGATAATGAACGGGATATTCGATGAAATAGATGCACGAGATATGCCCCGCATCTCCTCTCATCTAGTTCCTCAGGCCCTGTGGAAGGAACAGCTCAAAGCAGGATCTCACGGGCTTCTGCCGTGGCTGTGGGACGTGGAACCCGCTTTGATCGACGCCAAAGACACCGAGCCATGCCCTGGTGGTCCCGAATTCGAATGGGACTGGGAACTTTTGTTTCGCCAGCTGAGTCGTGGAATCGACTACGGCGACATTACAGAGCCGATAGATAGGAACCGGGTTGGAGACTTACGCCAAGTCGATTTGGTTTTCGACAAAGCCTGCACTGGGTACTCCACGGGTATGCAATATGTGCCCGCTGGGCTACACAATCGACGTCGCATTTGGCAGCTTCTTGAAGAGATGTTTGTGAGCGATACACCTCCTTGGAAGACAACCATTGTCAGCACCTTTGGAGGCACAAGGCACATCCCTACGATTGAGGACTGCGTCCCGCTTTGGTGGACTAAGTCCGGAGATCAGATTTTGTCTGAGCCAATTTGGATCCCTTCAATCAATAATATTCATGCGTTCAGTCGAAGCCTTGGAGGGAAGGTTCAAGGCACCGCCGGGCTTCAGTACTGGCAGAAACCGTCACAGTGTTCACAGCAAGAGACTTCGGAGGACGATGCAGAGACATCAGATGATCATGGAGCCTCAGTTGAAGAGATATACAGTGTACTGTGATCATTGGGCTATCCTGTCTGAGATGAGGCGGTGGCAATTATGATAATTGGTCTCAGATTGTACGCATGAACAACTTGCTCCAACTCATCATTCCGGAAGAAACATTACATGCTCCAGTGTTGCCTTGATATCTCGGGAGCTAAATCCGACATGAAACTTGAAAATGCCCTCCGGAATGACCCACGTGCGATGTAGTTCATCATAATAGCTCACATCACGTCTCGTAAGCTCAAAAAGAACATCGCCGCTCTCACCAGCTGCCAGTACGAGCTTCTCAAATCCCCGAAGCACTTGGACTGGTGTTCCCGGTGGTGAGGTAGAAGCAGGCAGTGAGACGTAGAGTTGCGGGACGACACCTCCAGTGATCAGGCCTGTATTGGTTACCTTGGCCTTGATTGTCAGGACGCTATCCCAAAGATCTGGATGGCCACCTGGAATGACAGACTTCGACGCATCGGGTTCTGCAGTTAGATTGTGGGCAAATTTCACTAAGTCAACCTCACGGGACATCTCAAAAGTGGTATAGCTTAGCCCAAATCCAAAGGCGTAGCGAGGTTCGATTTCATTCGCGTCAAGATGGCGATAGTCAATCAAAAGGCCCTCTTCGAAGTCTGACTGCCAAGCGTCAGGTGATGTAGCATTTGTGAGGTTGACGATAGGGATGTCGATATCGCTGCTGTTGAATGGAATAGAGTATGGCAGCCTCCCAGACGGGTTGACGTCTCCCCACAAGACATCGACAATTGAGTTGCCTGTCTCCTGGCCCGGAAGGTGTGCAGCGAGAATAGCTTTGACGTTCGGATGATCTGCCCAAGGCATCGTATTGACGCCGACAGAATGGGTGACCACAATCGTATTGTTACATCTCTCGGCAACCTGTTCCACGACGGCGGTTGAGTTCCAGTCTAGCTCATAGCTGGTCCGGTCTCGCGTCTCCCCAGAAAAAGAATTGAGGAAGACCAAACAAACGTCAGGAATCGGGTACAGAGCCGAAAAGTCGCCTTGCGCAATGACGCTATTCCGTAGCATGTACTGAACTCGCGACCCCGTCTCTTTGGCTCGAGCCTTGACTGCCTCCAACGGAGACACCAAGTACGTATGTCTTCCTGAAGCCGCGCCACTTCCAACGTCAAGGGTTCCAGTCTCGAATTGTCGGTTGAAAGTGAGACCGTCAGTAGGGTCTGCCGCATCGTTACCAAATACTCCAATATTCTTCGGGTTCTTGAGCGGGAGGATGCCTTCGTTCTTAAGGAGGACGGTCGACTCGGCAGCAATTCTTCGAATGAGATCGCCGTGTTGTCCGCGGACGTCGCGTGATTCAGGGTACGGAGGTGGGAAGCGATCTAGGAAATTTGACCAAGCCGCAAAAGTGTACATGAGAGACCGATCGGTTTTCGGGTATTCGCTTGTGTCTTGGTCCATGTAATAGTAGCCGGTAAGAATTCTGCGGACCATCTCGTCAATTCGTGCCCCCTCGACTGAGCCCTCGTCGATCATGGCGGTGATGTTTTCTGGACCCCAGTAGCTCTGACCTGTCTGAACGGTTGATTCGTCATAGGCGCCAGGCATGTTGAGGTCTAATCCGGCATTGATCGATTTTGCCCCAGAATGAGTTGCGAACCAGTCAGAGATGACATATCCGTCGAAACCCATCTCATCTCGAAGTACGCTCTTCAAGAGATATTTGTTCTCGCAGACGTATGTACCGTTAACACGGTTATAGCTACACATGATGCTCGTTGTGCCAGCTTTGATTGCGTTGTAGAAAGGTCAAGCGTAGAGTTCGCGGATGGTTCGATCGTCAACGTTGGATGATATTCCCTCGATCCGCTTGCCGTCCACTATTGTGTAAGTTCGCTGAAGTTCTTGCTCATTGGCAAGGAAATGCTTCGAGCAAGTCTGAACACCCATCGACTGGATTCCGAGGACAGTCTGCTCCATGGCGACACCTGACAAGTAAGGGTCCACCGAAAAGCCCTCCCAGTTGCGACCGCCGAGTGCATGCCTGCCAAATGGGCCTGAAGAAGGTCTGACATGATGTTAGTAAGTTTCCTGGGACAGGAAATAGACCGTGCTGTAATGGACTTACCCTAGAGCGATGTTTATTCCCTTGCCCCTGAACTCCTGACCGATGGCCTTGGCCCGCTGAAACATCAGGTCTTTGTCCCAACTGGCAGCTACTGTTAGTCCAGCTGGAAAAACGCTGACAAGATCTGCAATGTTGATCCCATTGGGCCCGTCTTGCATGCAAATTTCCTTAAAGTCGGCATGGTTGATGGGTAGGATGTTGCCAATGCATGGAGCACCGCCAATGGGCAGTTTGCCCGTCACGAACGTCGCCTTTTCAGTGAGATTGAGCTTGGAGACGAGAATTTCGGCTTTTCCAATGGCTTCGTTCCACTTCGTAGAGTTACGATCTGAATAAGAATATATCAGTCCATGAGCTTACTTGCCAAATCCGAGTGTTACAACGCAAAACCAACTGAAATTCCCCATGACTCACCAGCCAGGCTTGCCTCCACACCGACGGACAAAAATATGCCGATACCTATGATGATATCAGGGAAGCTGAGGGGTTTCATTGCGAACTGAGATACAGGAGACAGATGTCGAATTTAGTCCAAGAGGGATAAAGATGTGTCGGACATAAGAGTACGGTCTCTATGTTGCAAGCACATTTCCTTACACTCAGTGGAAGTTTTTGTAGTGGCTTGATGCCTTCGTTGATGCGTCTTTTATATCCTCCAAAACCTCGCCCTCGGTCATATTTGCCCCGGGTCGGTGATTACCCCAGACTAACCGCCTGCCATATTTCAATGCTGTTGGGCCGTGATACCTTCCCCAGAAAGGGAACTGCCGACGGAAGTACCAAGGAATGAGAGTAAAACCGAGCCAAAGCCGAATACGCGGAGTGAAAGAACCTGAAAAAGTAACGTGGCTCAGTGCCAGTACCAAGCAAGGCTTGTCACGGTGAAAGATGCGGGGTATGCATACTCACTCACATTCGGAATCATGACTGAAAAGGGCTTCACAAATGGTCTCACACACGACCTGACTTTGAGCAAATTTCTAAGAAGATCTACCGTCCAAGGGTGTTTGCGGGGAAATACGAGTACTCGTATTCATGTTATGAGCAAGCAAACCCAGCCTACTGTCGTTGCATCGCGGGGTGGACCCGCAAATAGTCGTTCGCGTGATCGAAGCTACGATGTGGCCAATGATGTAAGAGTTGGTCTTCTTGATGATAGGTAGTCACTGTTCAAGTAACCTGAAAATATTGAAGATATGATAAATAGTCACCAAACTCGTTCATTTATACGCGGGACTGGCAGTCGCCTTGTTGTCATGGATGCTTTCATTGCGTTATTCTAAGGGCATTCGATCAAAACTTCATCAATTTCCAAAGATGAAGTCCTCAACTTTCATTGCACCTCTTTTAGTATCCATCATTGGTGCCCTTGGCAAAAGAAAAGGACCCAATATTGTCTTCATCTTCACTGACGACCAGGATCTCCGACATGGCTCCGTCGACACCCAAAGAGCAGTTCAAGAACACATCGCCGCTCATGGAACTGTCTTCACCAACCACTATGCCAGCGTTGCCGTTTGCTGCCCTAGTTGCGTGTCCCTCATGCGTGGACAGCATGCACACAATACCAATAACACCGCCATCAAGGCGCCCGGGTAATGTTCATGCTGTTTGGGTGTGTTGCTAAACTATTACTGATTTTCCCCTTCTTTCAGAGGAGGTTTTCCCAAATTCAGAGCTGCTGGTCTCGAAGAAGAATATCTGCCACATTGGCTGGAGAAGGCCGGCTACAACGCCGAGTGTAAGCACTCCACGCATTTGGCAATCACTATTACATGCATGACATGCTCATCACTGTCCATTCAGATGTCGGGAAACTCTTCAATGGAGATTCAATCATTTCATACAACCCTGCCCCAAAAGGATGGAGACACATTGACGTCTTGGTGAGATGTGTCCGACACCTTGAGTCATGGTTTACTCAACACTGACGTTATGCAGCTGGATCCATACACCAACGCCCATAACACAGTTGTCATGTCGGAGAACGGCGCACGACCTGTATGGTATCAGGGCTTCCAGCAAACAGATGTCGTGCGGATTAAAGCGTAAGTTACCGCCGCAGCTAAGCTAACAGTTACTCTGAATGTTAGAACACGTACTGATTGTTATCCCAGCCTCGATCGACTCGACACTTTGTTGAAGGAGGAAGACCCTTTCTTCCTCATGATTGCTCCAACCGCGCCTCATGTTGAAAACTTGCGAGATCCTCCAACGCCGCCTGCTCGATATCTCGGATCTTTTGCCAATTCCACTGTTCCTCGTACTCCCAACTTCAATCCTGCTGATGAATACCAGCATGTCAAGCCTAGTTGGCTCAGGACCCTTCCCAGTTTGAACAACACTCATATTGCCGAGATCGACCACTTCTACCAGCGCCGACTTGAATCTCTCAAGGGAGTGGATGACATCATTGACGATGTTGTCGAGATGCTTACCGTCAACGATGCAATCGATAACACCTACAGTATGTCTTACAAATATTGGTTCCCTCAAAGTGCTGTTCGCCGTAATATTGATCATCTCGCAGTTATCTACACCACGGACCAAGGATATCACCTTGGAACTCATCGCACCGGTATTGGCAAGTCACTTCCTTATCTAAAAGACACCAATATTCCCCTCATCGTACGCGGTCCTGGTATTCCCAAAGGCGCCGTTTCGAGCAATCCTAGCCTAGTCGTCGACTTTGCTTCCACTTTCCTTGACATCGCGGGATTGGACCCTAATGATCGACCGCCGCTCTGGGATGGCTCAAGTCTGCTCGACTCGTGGAAGAGTCCAAACTCTCCGGAAATTTCCAATAGAAAGGAGGCCGTTAACATTGAGTACTGGGGTTCTGGATTTGTCGAGATGCACCAATGGTCAGAGGGCGACTACGGCATTTCCTTCCCTGGACTTTACTCGAAGAACGACTACAAGACAATGCGTGTTGTGGGAGACTCCAGTTCCTGGATGTATTCACGATGGTGCAGCAATGATACAGAGCTCTATGATACGAAGGTGAGTCTCCAAATCGTCTCTTCGCTTCAAACATGCTAAGGAAGGGAAGAATGATCCATATGAGTTGGTGAATCTCGCCAACTCGACCGACCCACTTCATGTTCGCGTTTCAACGAGAATAAACGCTCTGCTCCTTGTCTCGAAGTCATGCACTCAAGACACTTGCAGAGACCCTTGGAGTGCCATTCAACCCCCGGATATTTCGTCTTCGAATAGAGTACGAACCCTGGAGGACGCTTTAAACCCTGCTTACGACGAGTTTTACGGGTCTTTCCCGCTCGTCACCATCGCAGAGTGCATGAACTACCAGTTCGCGCCAAATGAAGGGCCATTCTATCGGACTGGAGCTGATGATGGTCTCGGACTTGAATACAGGAACTCGACCGACAACTTCGTCTTTCCAGATCCGAACCCAGTAGTGGAATTACCGCGTAATTTGACTCTTGGTGGCGGCTGGGACCATCGTCATGCCACACATGAGGCGCTGTTGAGGAGTGGTCGGGAGTTGACAGATGATGAGCTAGAGAACGTAGACGCTAAGCTCGAGGGGAGGAGTTTGCCCCTGGTCGAAGGATGAAAGTCTTGATGTTAGGGGGATGGCAGGTGAAAGAAGGCTTCGCGCCGGCGCATGAGCTATCTCCTTTGTAACTTGGCCTTGATCGATACATGAGAAAGCAAAGGACTCATAAACTCAAGGGTAAGAGCTTGTTTAATTCAAGTCTATTCTACTCCCTCTTGCACTAGCTACCATATCTGAACTCCAGGCGTTGACATGAAATTTTCAAGACTCCTGTCACTGCCTCTCAGGACGAGAGGTGTATCTAAACTTATCGTTCAGGCTGTTACTTTAGGTAATAGGCTGACTTCTCGCTGTTGACATTCAAGTACGCTCACTTGCAAGAAAAGCTAATCTCATGGACGATCTTGCAGGCACCAGGATGAAGCTGGAGATGAGATGTCGTCCTACCAGAACACTACTGGGGCCTTTCCCCTCTCGTTCTCAAATAGGGCTCATAAAAGTTTGGACTGACAGTATGTATGTAGCAATAACATTTACCGCACTGGCTGGGTTGCTCGGATTTGCCGACGCGCGGGGAACCCCAGCACGTGTACATCCCGTATGTTTCATTGTGCTGCCATGGCACAACAGATCCGAGAAGCGAGAGGCGGATGCCGATATTCGTCAATACTAGCCCTTGCACAGCGGTTATGGCTATCGGTGCAAGAGGTTGCAGTTCCTTGAAGGCGATTGCCGCACACGATCCGCGATAGCCTTCATTGGCAGAAATTGGATTCCGAAGAAGTCAAGACGAAGCTCATCTAGTAAGTCAAGTCCCAGCTTAAACAGAAGATGCCCTATGAATACGTGAAAACCGAGGAAATCACCTGCCGGCGCGTCACCTAATTTTCGACTTTATTCTGCGTTCAAATGCCATTGCAAATATGGTGAGTAAATAAATTAGAGAGTTTTGCTAGTCAGGCAGTGGTCGTTAGCTATCCGGTCAGTGTTCCCTATAATCCGTGATTATAGAGAGAACGGTAGAAGTAGTTATGAGGATAATGACGATAACGACGACGACGACGACGACGACGACGACGACGACGATAATAATAGATAGTAACGATAAGAAAAACGAGAATAGGAAACATAATATAGTTACTTTAGAAACAGGCTATTGATTACGTACGTGTGTGTAAACACTGCCTACCTAGGTAGCCAAATAACACTGCCCGACTAGCAAAACTCGTCAATTGATACAGGGAAATCTGTCGCCAGTAAAATGCCCTTTCAAGCACCAATTGTCAGCATGAATATTTCGACGCAGTAAATTAGGATATAGCAATTCTCAAGAAAACATGCGAAATGTTTCTATCATCCGCCGTGGTCACTGAGTCTCCATTCGGATGGTGAATGAGTAGCCTTCTGGGTTCTTCTTCAATAGTACTCAAGTTTGATAATAGGAATCGTCATATAATGTGGTATTAAGGATATTTCTTGATACAAAATGTGTATTTCTCGACCACTGGCTTTCCCTCTCTCTCCATCTTCAAGGGCCAAAGCTTCGAGACGATTCCACGAACCTCATACGCCTACGACTCCTCAAATTTTCCATGATTCACTGCTTCGATATATCCTTCGCTTTTCCAGGCTGTCCGATGATCGTTAGTTATGTACGGAAGTGAGCATCGCTTACACAGAATGAGAATCGTCTTACAACTAGTTTTTCTTGCAGGTACGTTGGCGCGGAACATCATGTCGACCTCATCGAGAGTCCTGCCCTTCAGCTCAGGAAAGTAGAAGAAGGCCCAGACAACGCTGATAAGACTGAATGACCCATAAATGAAACCCACTTTGGGTCCGAGATTGCCATACCCAGGATTCATAAGGTATGGCAAAGTGAAGGTAGCGATGAAGTTGGAAAAGTTGTTTACGGTCCACGCCATCATGGCAGTTTTGCCACGCAGACGAGGCGAAGGAACTTCGGCGGGGGTAATAGCGGCCCTGGCAGCGGAATGCATGGATTAGTCATATGCAGGTAAGCTCGAACAATGAGCCCCAACAGATTAAGGGGTAATGAATGATGAACAGATGAGGTCTTCCAATAGTGAAACTTACAGCTGTGCAAGAGAGCCTAAAAATGAGAATCCGAATAATGACAGCATGCAAGCTGTAGCTAGTTTCTCAGATTGGTTTGGGTTCCGTATGGTTCCTAGTCCGCCGAGAATCATCATGGAGACACCTCCCAACGTGACCATCGACTTCCAGAAGAAGCGGCGACCAGCTCGGTCAACCAAGAGCATGAACGACAGGGAACCAATCAACCCAAAGCATTGAGATATAATGGTGAGGACGAAGGGATTTATGGTGCCGAGGCTTTGGTAAAATATTGTGCCGTAGACATTGGCAAACGCTTGCCCAGTCGCTTGCGAGAAGAAAGGTGGAAGCAGAGCAATGGCAGTGCGCCTCTGTTAGCGTTTATACCAGTTAGCTGAGACCAATTGAACAAAACGCGTGGGGGAAAGGAGTTTGAAAGAAACTTTCATGAGGCAACGTACAAGGTCAGTGCCGCGGAAGAGATCCGCCCAAGAACCTTTCTCCGTGTGTTGCTCGAGGTTCGCCTTCATAGCAGCAAGTTCAGTTTCGCCATCAAAACCAGCTCTACCGTCATTGAGACCTTTGAGATTCACGAGCGCCTCTTCATATTCTTCCTTTCCCAATAGCCAGCGGGGCGACTCCGGGACGAGCGCAGTCACAAGAATCATCAAACTGGGAATGGAAAACAGTACAGCAACTGGCGTCTTCCAGGATGAATCTCCCGTCCATGTTGACGTGGCAAAAGATACACAGCTGATGATGATCGTGCCAAGAAGGCGTCCGATCATGTAGCCGGAAACAAGCATGCCCCGAATCTTTGCTGGAACGACCTCGGCGATGAACAGTGGAATAAGCCAGCTTTCCATCCCCGTGTAGATGTGGACAATGCAACGACCTGCGAGTACCTGGCCAAATGACTGCGACGTGTACGTCACGCACACACCTGCAATGCAAATGAGGTTCATAAGGACGTAGACAGCTCGTCGCCCGTAAGTTTCGCCGATGGTGGAGGCAAAGGGAAGACCCAGTGCGTAGGCGATAAAGGGGATCGAGTTCAATAGAGAAAGTCTCGTGGTGCTGATTTTGCAAATTCCTTTCGCGTCACAAATGTCTCCAAATCGATGTTGAAAAGCTGTATCGCAAATATGATATCAATAACAGCTCCCATCGATGGCCAGGGAATTGAGAATCTTGGCAGGTTCGGTATTCACTCACAGTCCATGGCCTGGATCGTATTATAAACCGACAGATCGAATCCATTACTGAGTACGTTCAGGCCGAGAATGAGGCAGAGCAGCCCCATACTCCATGTGACCTCCTGGCTAAAAGGCAGCCGCCGCGGTGGAAGCCAGATCGTTCTCATGATTCCCCTGCACTTGTATGAAAAAACAAAAAAAAAAAGACTGAGTCAGTATGAGATTCGGTGCTCAACCGAAAACAACTTGACGCCTGGTAGAAACGACAGCCCAATTGCCTCTCATTTTAGATCACATGGCTTCCCAGAGGCTGTAAGCAATATTTAAGAGGAATTCGGACTCGCATCATTCAAGACTTGGACCAGTCCGGCTCGGATTTCCCCCACATACCCCAGATTTCGGGGAGAGGAAGCCGGTAGTTCTCGAGCTCAATTCATCCATATGGTCCACCTGGTCGTCTCGGCACTTGATCGGTAGGGTTGAGCATCACCGACAGCCGTTGAACAAGTATGTTGTTCAGGTCGGAAAATCCGAGCGCGGGCTGTGAACACACAGATTTCAACTCAGCTGCCAGAAGAGACTTGGGGCGGTACGCGCTGGGAGTAACCCCGCACGTCCGGCATTCCCGCCGCGGCACCGGCTCGGGCCTCTTACCTAGCTCTCAGATCCGCCGAAGAGTGAAGCATCTAAGCGTTTCGTCTGGTCCGATAGCCATGATAATCTGTAATAAAGCCGCTTTACCTTCATACTCAAGTTTTCAAGTCTCTTTGACAAGTTGAACTATACAAGATCAACTAATTGTATTTTCGCCTGTTCTCTTTCAACTTTCAACCATGCAATTAGCCAAACGACCCAACTTTCTCATCATCGTCGCCGACGATTTGGGGTTCAGCGATACGGAGCCATATGGCTCTGAAATATCCACCCCGGCCCTGCAGCGTCTTGCCAAGGATGGTTTACGTATGACTAACTTCCATACTGCCCCGGCATGCTCACCTACAAGATCCATGCTTCTATCCGGCACAGATAACCACATTGCTGGACTAGGCCAGATGGCCGAGTTCATGATGGGTTCGCGACAAAAGTACGACGGCCATCCAGGATACGAAGGCTATCTCAACTTTCGCGTTGCTGCTTTGCCCGAGATACTTCAGGATGCCGGCTACTTCACTCTGTGCTCGGGGAAGTGGCATTTGGGCATGACTGCCGAAACCTCGCCCTCTAGCCGTGGTTTCAGCAAGTGTCTTTCCTTTCTCCCTGGCGCTGGGAACCACCACAATTATGAGCCACAGCTTGACGCGAAACTTCCTCCGTTCATCAAGAGCTCTGGCTTCTGGATGGAGAACGACAAATTCATCGACCGCAGCAAAGACTTGCCTGAGAACTTTTACTCAAGCGACTATTTCACCGACCGCCTGCTCGGCTTTTTAGATGAGCGCACGGACGAGGAGAAGCAGAAGCCCTTTTTTGGATATCTTGCATACACTGCACCACATTGGCCACTACAGGCACCACGAGAGAAGATTGCCAAATACGGTGGTTTTTATGACGATGGACCAAAGGCTCTCAGAGATCGACGTCTGCGCCAACTCCAGAAACTGCATCTAGTCCCGGAAGATGTTATTCCAGCACCTGTAGACGTTCCCGGGGCCGTCGAATGGCATGAGAAAAGTGAACAGGACAAAGCCGTGGCATCTCGAGCCATGGAAATCTATGCGGCCATGGTGGACAAGCTCGATGACAATATCGGTCGCGTCATCGATCACCTCGAGGCCAGTGGCGAGCTCGACAACACATTCATCGTCTTCATGTCTGACAACGGTGCTGAGGGCTCAACTATGGAATCCATGCCCATCATGGGCTCACTTGGCATCCAGGAGACACTTCGACAATTCTATGACAACTCGTACGAGAATATGGGCAACGCCAACTCTTTCATTATGTATGGGCCACAATGGGCTCTTGCGGCCACAGCACCTTCGCGAGGTTTCAAAGGCTATACCACTGAAGGAGGCATACGGTGTCCGTGTATCGTGCGGTATCCTCCCCTTGTGAAGACGGAGGGAGGCATCAGCCACTCCTACACCAACGTCATGGACATCCTGCCTACGATGTTGGATCTGGCCGGCGTGTCACATCCTGGCACTACTTTCCGCGGTCGTGAAGTAGTCACTCCACGAGGGAAGTCCTGGGTTCCGATGCTTGGCTCCGAGACGTCCGAGGTATATGGCGAGGGTGAGGATGTTGCTGGATGGGAGCTTTTCGGAATGCGAGCGATACGGAGAGGCACTTATAAGGCTGTGCTTTTGCCTCCGCCTCATGGCACTGGCACATGGGAGCTTTATGACATTGAGAGTGACCCAGGTGAAACCAAAGACCTGGCGACCCCACAGCCAGAAATCCTAAGGCAGTTACTTCAAGACTGGGAGGTTTATTTCTCTGAAACAGGCATGATCGAGTTTCATGTGCGAGGAGAAAAGATCGCAGGTATGTAATTATTAGAGATAGATATATGACAGCATAAGGACGTGGGACGCACACAACAGTATGAAAACATAAACTCTCCTACGCTTTGCCTCCCTAAATTCCAGCTGTCGGGGTTGGCTCAGGATAAGCCGCCTCTCCGTCCGTCTAGTAGCTGCCATAGATGAACGTCAGGTGTTTCTACCAACGTCGCGGGGGCTAACCGACGGTACAAACCAGCTTGCTCCATGATTCAGGCCATTTCTGAGGGGTTTTCGCCACCTTCTTGCCGTTGAACTCCATCTTCCCTGACAAGCAGCAGAAATCATTGGCAAACCCGACAAAGTGACTATACCCTGCTCCGGAATGATCGCCCCCAGACAAGTCGAGATATCCCGACCTGGTATCATCATCAAGGTCCCCGGTGCCTGTGTCTGCAACTCTCATGCAGTAGTAAATCCGATGACAAGCTTTGGCCGCGGTCTTAGTCTTTTTGGCGGGCGCGCCACTGAGGTTTCCCTGGGCCGCTCGTTTCTTCGATCTCGCGGGCTGACCGTACTCACTGCTCTCGGATGAATCATCTTGATTGTATTTGGATAGTCCAGCATTTTCTTCCTCGGCTCGGTCGAGGTCGCAGATGGCGTCGAGCAGTTCCTCGGATTCACTCATGATCATCGTGCCTTCGAAGGCTCCAAAGTCGCAGGCAGCCTTGAGCAGTCCGTGCTTCCCGGCCCAAACGTCCAGCTTCATGTCGTCATCTGGCGGCCATTGGTCTTCAATCTTGCTGCAGCGCACAAGGTATGAGCCGCAACACTTTTGAATGTCGAATAGTTGAGGAGCGGTACCCTTGGCATCGTCAGTCTTGGTGGTCTTTCTCGTTTTAGAGGCCATTTCGTCTTTTGCCGAGAGGTGTTGAGGGGAAGATGGTGATTTCAAGCTTAGGTGCCTCAGAGTTGATCCAGACGATAGCTGAAGGAAGTCAGGGGACCCTTGTATGTGTAGCAAGGGTCCTTTATTTCCATTTTCTTCCGTGGTACTTTCGAGCTTAGCCTCTTGTTATCGACGTATTCAGTTGTCCTTTATTATACGGCTTTCTGTTCATGTCTGTGACATCGAGGTGGTTCATTCGTTTATACTGCGGTCTCATGATACATTTCCATGACCGGCTAGGGTAGTCGCGAGCAACGTGATTACATCATAAGCTGTTCCTACTTCAGCCACCGCGTTAACGAAGCCAGCTTTCAAAAGAATAACAATAATATTGAAAAGTATGTGATTTGTTTGTTCCCGTAAAATTAAGCTTCGATGGCCAACTGCCACTGAGTGCCTGTAACAGCGATCATTTGAAGGAGCAGCCAAATTGACACCCGAATACCCCTTCTTCCCTTCGAGCCACGAATCGAGTCTGCCTCAGACACGCATGATTTTCTCGACATGACCAAACCAAACATCAACATCTGATTTCAATAGAAACGCCCCATACTTAAGTAGACCACCCACTGACACATCTGCAGTCATCTCCAACCAGCCCACAAAACATACACGGCATCCCTTGATTCATGTCTGGCTCAGTCTTAACAACCGCCTCTGTGAAGTCGACGCTGAACTGCAAGAACTCATCCAACAAATTCCTGAAAGCTATAATCTGACTTAAATCAGACGCATGTCTCGCTGCCACCTCAGCCAAGACACTTCTCGCCATAACATCCACCCTCGAGGTTTCCGAGTAGGCATACGCTATCGCCTTGACGAAGGCATCCGTGTTCCAGAGTTTCTCCGACGCATCCCTCAGCTTCTCCACCGCACAGCGCTTCAGACAAGACACTTCGAACTTGTCCGCGGCAACGGACATTTGAAGGTTGAACAGGATCGGATCAGCAGGCGGAGGCGTGACATTGAGACATTGAGTGTCGCGATAGTCGGCGTGGTACATGAAGCAGAGCACATTCTCTACCACCCGAGGGTTCTCATCTTGCATATTGATGATTTGCTGGCAGCCGGGATTTTGTTGGGCGTTCGCATTTCCTAGAACCGTTGATCCCTCGAGCAGCAGGGCGGGATCGATGTCGCTATCCGGAAAAGCGTCCGCGAAGAATTTGGACTGGCTGGCGAGCACGACGCGATGGGCGTAAAAGTCTCTTGTGATACATCGTATCGTGACATCGGAGTATTCCGGACTGTCAAAGTATCTGATAATCGTCAGAGACAGAACCGCGGTGGCGGATAATGCCGACTTACTTCTCAAGCCCCTTGACCAAGTCCAGCGGGTACGGTTTAGTCTCCATCCGCGCCAAACTTCGCAAGACCGTCCCCAAGATCTGCATCTTTTCCGGTGACAAGAACGAGCGGGATTCTTGGGGACCGAACAATTGAGAAGATATCGGCCCTCCTGCGAAAGGACCAAGGCAAGCTGTCTTTACTGATGCCGAGGAAAATTTCATTCCCAACCCAACGTCAATTGCAGTCGACTTCCATTTTATAACTTTCCCCCGCCAAGTGTTGGGGCTGCCGCCCCGATCCCCCGCGATGTCTCGTCCAGATACCTCTGACTTCCCGATTAGGCAAACGTGTGTCTCTCAATCGGCATTGGCGTTTGGGGCTGCTGCAGCGCCGTCCATTCTGCATGAGCTCACTAAAACAGGGATAATCATCCCTAACCGCATGTCGTGCAGTCTGGTAACAAAGGCGGTAAACGTACCCAGGGTTGCATTTGAACCAATGGAAAACGTTCCGAGGTCAGGCACTGCTGCAATCGCGCGGCTGAACGGATGTTTCCCTCGAATCTGACGAATACAATTTTTGGACCGAGACACACATGACTACTGGACCTCAATGCACGTTTGTTGGTATGTAGCAGGCGCCCTTGTCTCGTTCGGGCTGGATTAAATAGGAAGCTCGTACAAAGTGCGAGGGAACGACATCGATCGACGTATTGGGAGGATGCTGTATTCGGACTACACTCTTTTCCCCAATATGAGCATATCAAGGACCTGCTTTAGAACATGTAGTGCAGTTCTATTGGTCTTACAGGGGAATCTCTCGCTCTTGGCTGCATCGATGCGATCTTGTCATTTGCGACAGAATAAGGACTTGTAGTGTAGCACGTGGCTCAAAAGGCCTTCTGCATTTGCTGCCTTCGTTTTACTTACTCTGGACACCCGAGGTATTTTTATGATCTAAACCACTCGTACCCACTCTATTTTGGAGTTCATGAAGTCGTTCATCTTGAACTAATGGCCGCGGTGGCTCGTGTGCTTTTGTGAGTCCCAGCGGTTGCGATATGAGATCGTGCGTACTCTATGGAGTGCTTGAGGTTCTTTCTCAAGCCACCCAAGGTCTACATTGTCCCCATCACCTTGAGAAGGATTTTCTGAAGGTTCAATGAAGTAGTTCGCGGCTGAAGTGGTTCGCGACTGAAGACTATAGCTATCAGCGCATGGCACGGAGAGTTCTGCTATCTATGCAGGTATGAACGATGCAGAGCTTCAAGACGGCAGAGACGACACTCAGTACAATGGCAAAGGCATTTAAAATGAAAAGGTAGAGATGTGTGGTAACGGAACAGAATGTGTTCAATGCAAGTAGAGCTCCTTCCGTATAGCTCTGGAGAGGTATGCTACCAGACAGCAGATTCCAGCACGCAATACATTTGTACATGGTCTCGCAAATTTTTTCAAATCATGTCCCTATTGTTTACAATGTCAGTCATGCGACGAACCTGAGATCTTCTTGGAAACCATCAAAGTAGGTACTTGCAACCGGAGCCAAAGGTTTTGAATGAAGTTTTAGGGATCAGTCCTTTCTCGAAAAGCGCTACAACATCCATGGATGCTTAATTTTACCTTTCGCCTACTAGAATGTCAAGAACACACGGTGCCAACACGCGCCCTTGGCAGGCACCCCGTTGAACCCGGTTACTAACCAGTAGTAATCGATTTTGCTGTGCCCCAAACAGCTGCGCCTACTTTCAGCCAATACATTTATTACAGCCTGTCTGCGCCGCACCGTCGATGCCTGGCAAATTTCCAAATCATCTTGGGCGGTGACGGTTTACCCTGACATCAGGCAACGGTGAAGAGCTGTCGATTCAGATAAGAACCCGAGCATTCAACGTATGGTGTCTTGATTCTGGACCAAACAAGATTGTCGATCCCTTCATTGAGGCTTTTCTTCCGACGTTCTTTCGCGATTACAATTACCGATGTACACTGTACTAGACCCCACTAAACGCGAAGTCCGCCTCCTCAGACTGCTCGCCGGTAACGAGGCGGACGGTATCATCTGCAAACTCCACACGACATCCTTAGACAGCCCCGATGACTATGAAGCTCTTTCATATGTATGGGGTGACTGGAGCGACACGCGCACCATTACAGTTCAACAGACGGCCAAGAATGTCACTATGAATCTAGAGGTGGCGCTGCGCCATCTTCGATACCCTGACCGAGCCCGCATGCTCTGGGTGGACGTTCTCTGCATCGATCAAGAGAATGTCCAGGAGCGCAATCAGCAAGTCCGATGGATGAGTGACATTTACTCAAGCGCAACCCAAGTCGTGGTATGGCTCGGCCCAGCGACTTCGGTGGGGTTCGAAGCTATGGCTATTATCGAAAAATATGCCGCCGACAGCGAGTTGCACCGGCCAGATCTAAAGCACGATCTCGTTAAGTTGTTTCAGATGTATCATTTTCTCCACAACGAATGGTGGTCGCGCGTTTGGACGGTCCAAGAGGCTGTTCTTGCAAGACAAGTGACATGCCAGTACGGCCCTCGGCTGCTATCGGAGTCCGATCTGCTCAAAGCAGCAGCAAGCTACAGGAATCACGTATTCGTAAGACGTTGCTGCTATTCCGTCCTCGAAAGCAACAAATCACTCATCACTAGCACCGCCAACATCACTGTTGGAATGGAAACGCTGCTGGACTTGGTCAGTATTCGAGCCAACCTGCAGAAAGAGAAATTGCGGTTCGACGAGGTGACAGCGAAATTTCGTACGAGAAGAGCAACAGACCCCCGCGACAAAGTCTTTGGGCTGTTAGGAATATCGCGAGGCTTCAAGACGGCTTCGATCGATTACGCCCTAAGTGCTGCTCAAGTCTTCGAGGCGACGACGCGGGAGATTATGAGCTACTGCACGAATCTGGATATTCTCAGCCACTGCGCAAACCAGGCGTATCGGGAAACAACAACTGCCGGGCTGCCCTCTTGGGTTCCAGATTGGGGGGCTGAATACCATCCCAACGACGGCCTCTCCGGTGATTTCTATCTGACCACCCAACGTCTTGCTTTTATAGACGTCTACAATGCCTGCGGGAAGCTTACTTATACACCCTATTCCAACTTCGAAGAGAGCATTCTCTGCTTACAAGGGGTGCTTTGCAATAGGATTGAGAGAGTCGGGCGCTTGGAAAGGATTCTCATGGCTGAAACGGGCCCCAACTACCTGTTTGAGTGGTGGGAGATGCTTAACGTCGACGGGAACGCCAACCGGCCATACCGTGGAGGGGGCACCATTTCAGACGCATTCTGGCGCACGATATGTCTCAATATCGGGGTCGACGGGTTCCTAGCTGACAACGGCTCAGAGGCAAAGCAAGCTGGCTACAACCATGAGAGAATGTTCATAAGGTGCTGGGACAGTGAACTTGCCGCTTCCCACCATCTTCCCCAGCTAGAAATCTTCCGCAATTCGACAACCAAAGAGGCGTTGATCCAACATTTGATGAGGGCATCTGGCAGGCGTCAATTCTTCATCTCTACTGAGGGCTTTATTGGGCTAGGCCCGCCCGATATCGAGGTCGGAGACAAGATTTGCGTTTTCGCCGGCGGCAAAATGCCCTTCATTGTCCGGGACATGGACGATGAGACACAGGGTGGTAATAGGCCCGAGGCGGGAGCCCATTTACGCCTGCTGGGCGATGCCTATGTCCATGGCTTGATGTACGGGCAGGGGGTGAAAAGGGCTGAGCACGGGGTTGAGGAGTTGAAAGTATTCAATCTACACTGAGGACACATTCAAAAGGAGTCGAAACTCTAATTTTTGTGAGTCTTTGATACGGTGTTAGATGACCAACTCACTCATCTCCGTCATAAGCTCTACCTTCGTAGCAATCTTTATAGTGCAAGCAAATCCTGAGCCCTGATTGGCGGTCAGCACACTCGCAAGCCGTTTCGGTCCCTCAAGGAAGGGACTTTTGATCGGTAACACAAGAGTGATCTTGTCATTTACGATAGTCATACCCATGCCCAAGCTGTACGTGCAGTTGCGCAACCGTATCAAATTCAACAAGATGGAAATTCAGCGAGTTCCCAAGATGCTCCCACAGCACGGACACAGGCTTCCTAAATCCCTCCTACAAGCAGCGAGAGCGCTAGCCCAAAATGGCAGCTTGCAATCGCAAGCCACCCGCAAGCTGGACCCCGGGAGATAACCGGCCGGCGTCGGAGCCCCTCCGCTCGGGGAACCCAAACCCACCGAGGTAGCTACCTCACCTCACCAGCCTCTCATTCGCGTCGTGTCGCGGCTCTTATCACCAACGTCACCTTTCACCTTTCACCACTCATCTCAGCCTCAATTCAAACACGATTCTCAAGATGGCACCCTCAGATTCCCACCGCAACCGCACCCATCTCAAAATGGCACCCCCAATCTCGTCAGACATCTCAGACGACGAGAACGATGACTTCGTCTTCATCTCCCACTCAGACTGCAAAACATCCACCAACCCTGCCTCCTTCTCGACGCCCCTCGACGAAATCTCCGCCATCGTAAACTCCTTCGCCGAAGACCTCTGGCCCGTCAACAGAAAAATCCACGACAACCCCGAACTAGGCTACAAAGAGTTCATCGCCCACGACACCCTTACAGCCTTCATGCGCTCCCGCCCCGGCTGGTCCGTCACCCCCTCCGCCTACGGCATGGAGACCGCCTGGGTCGCCGTCTACGACACCGGCCGCAAAGGCCCCGTGGTCTCCTTCAATGCCGAGATGGGTACGCACCTCCCCTCCCCCACCCTCCCCCACCCTTCCCCCAATCTCTCTAACACCTTACAGACTGCCTCCCGGGCATAGGCCACGCCTGCGGCCACAACCTCATCGCCTCCGCCTCCGTCGCCGGCGCCCTCGCCACCGCCCTCTACCTCTCCCACCACCCGTCCCTCCCAGGAAAAATCGTCCTCTACGGCACCCCCGCGGAAGAAGGCGGCGGCGGCAAGATCCGCCTCCTCCGCGCCGGCGCCTACGCCGCCCACGGCGTCGACCTCAACCTCATCTCGCACCCAGGCATCGTCGCCGACACGTCCCTCATGCGCACCTCCGCCTACACCTCCTTTTCGGTGGAGTATTTCGGCCGCGAGGCCCACGCCGCCGCGAATCCCTGGCTGGGCATCAACGCCCTCGACGCCCTCGTCACCGCCTACACCGCGCTCTCCGCGCTGCGCCAGCAGACCATGCCCGGCGACGTGATCCAGGGCAACATCACCTCGGGCGGCGCGCGGCCGAACATTATCCACGCGTACGCCGCGGGGGACTTCGTCGTGCGCGCCGACAGCCAGGCGCGCCTGGCGGAGCTGCGCGCGCAGGTGCAGCGCTGTTTTGAAGCCGGCGCGCTCGCCACGGGCGCGAAGCTGAAGGTCACCGAGACGGGGAGCTACAAGGACCACGTGCCGAACCGACCTTTGGGGCGCAGCTACACGCGCGCGTGGAACACGCTGTCCACGAAAGACGGGAAGGGGAAGATTCCCCTGGACGAGGACGTGGACGAGATCCGCGGGCGGACGATGGCGAGCACAGACCAGGGGGATATCAGCTACGCGATGCCGAGTCTGAGTGTGGGCTTTGCGATTCCGCCGGGGGAGGGCGGGCAGGGCCCGCATAACCCCGAGTTCGCCGCGGCGGCGGGGACGCGGGAGGCGTATGAGATTAGTTTGAAGGTCGGCAAGGGGCTGGCGGCGGTTGCGGTGGATGTGTTTACGAAGGAGGGGTTGTTAGAGGAGGTGAAGAGGGCTTGGAGGAGGGATATGGGGATGGAGGAGAAGGTGGACGATGTGAGGACGAGGGGGTTGTTAAGTTGGTGGATTTGATGGCTGTGTAGAACTATGAGATATGTAAGATGGAGCAGAGGCGAACGGAACTGAACATAATTCACGAATATATCAATATCAAAAAAAGTTCATGATAGAAGGTCATCGATACTTTACAGTGGTCCCATGATATCCCTAATCGCTAACAATACACGCCCGACTCCTCATAAAGCCAATATCAAGACAATTCTTCTAACGTCCCTCGTGCCCTCACATCCTCTTCGCCCCCATCTCCTCGCTCCCGAAGTCATCCCACTCCTCCCGCCCAATCTTCCTCGAAATCCACACGCCCACGCCCGTCACCGCGCAGCTGCCCAGGAACCACCCCTCGAACCACCAGTCCACGAACCGCGGCTCCAGCGCCCCCTCCAGCGCATCCCCGACCGCGCTGCCCATCTCCCGCGGCAGGTTGCTCCGCAGCAGCAACGCCGCGCTGATCACGTACACCGCCGCCACCTGCCCAATCACCAGCGCCAGGTTCGCCTGCGCCTGGTACAGCAAGCCCGGCATCCACTTGCTGAAGAGGCGGAACGTCTGCAGCACGCTGTTGGCGCTCGCCGCGAGAATTACCCCCGATAACAGGAACGAAATCTGCCGCGCCCACGCGATCTGGTCCAGCTTCGGGTCCCAGTGCCGCGCCAGCAGGCCCAGGAAGCGGTTGATGGGGTCCGAGGAGCTGAAGCTCGCTGCCGGGTAGTACGCCCGCCGCAGCGTCGCCATCAGCGTCGCGAGGATGCGGTACAGGCAGTAAAGGCTGAAGACAAAGTGCGGCACCGCGAGGACCTTGCCCCACGCCGTCTTGGCCCGCTCGTCCGCCTCCCGCCGGCTGCGCATCATGCCCAGGCTTGCGCCGAGGTTCGCCTCCATCGTCTCGAGCCCAGCAATCTCCAGCCTCAGCGCCTTCATCTCCGCCTCGTCGCCGTTCATCCCCCTCACGGCGCCCAGCATCTTGCCCATGAACCCGCCCGATGAAGAGCTGCTGGCCGCAGCCGCCGCCGCGTCGCGCGCCTTCCGCTCCAGCGCCTGCAGTCGGTGTCTCTTCGTAATCAGCATCTCGTTCGTCGCCTCCAGCCCGGCCTCCTTCCGCGTGATGTCCGTCTCCGTCACCGGCCTCTTGCGCCGGTCGTTAACCGCGCCCAGCGTGTGCCACGGGCTCGACACCGCCGCGAACCCGCTCAACATCGCCATCAGCGAGATCCCAATCACCCCGATCCGCTCCAGACACGCCCTCAACACGCCCCCTCCCGGCGTCTTCTCCAGCCCGACCATCCTCCCCAGGCTCCAAAACGCAAACAGCCACCCCGCAAACACGGCGCCCTGCACCCCCCACGCCACCCTCGGCACGCGGCCCCTCCCGTCCCTCTGGAAACTCCACCCCGCCCCCGCCACCACGCTCTGGATCTCCAGGAACGGGATCACGCCGACCAGCAGCACCAGCAGCGTCGGCACAGTCACCCTCAACCCAACCTCCCGCGCCCGCGTCCCCACCACGTCTGAGACCTCGCACAGGATCAGCTCCCCCAGCACCGTCGCCAGCCCGACCGTCACGCAGAACACCCCCGCCGCGACCCGCCGCCGCGCGCTCTTTTGCCCGTGCTCCGCGTGCGCCTGCCGCAGTGTCGCCGGCGCGTGGGCGGGCAGGTAGTGGTCCTCGCCGTCGTGCGCGTCGTGCACGCGGGCGAGCCGCGGGAAGATGGAGCGGTTGGCGACCGTCGCGACGGCCGCGAAGGTGAGGAGGAACGGCGACAGCGAGAATATCAGCCCCAGCGTTGAGGGGGCGGCGTTGGGGTCCACGGCCGCGCATGCGTCCTCGTCGCAGGCGGACGAGAAGAAGCGGAACCAGGGCATCTGGGGCGGCTTGTGGCGGGGCTTTCGCGCGCTGTCGGGATCGAATGGGCGTGGGACATGTGTCTGTGGAGGTGGTAGTGTTCGTCGTCGTGCTCGGATTGCGACAGATGCAGCATCGCTGAGTGTCGGCGAGCTGTGTGATTTATTTATTCTTTGTGTTTCGAGGTGAGATTTCAACGCGGGATTCGCAAGGCTGGGGTCGACATTGTCTGCAGTATGTTGTCGATCTTCGGACACCCGTTGCTGAGACGGGCGTTGGGAGGACAAGGTATGGCATTCGTCACGCTTTGTCGGAGTTTGCTCCAGCCACGATGACCTGGCCTTAGCTGGAGCTTCAGCCACATTTGGTGGGTAAAGCCACCCAGGGCGCCGCCGGGCTGTTGCAAGTGGCCAATCGACGTGGAGGAAAGACTCACTCACTGCAGCTTGATGGGGAGCTGTCCTTAGCATCTAATGCAGGTTGGTCGTGATGCCGCTTGAGCAGTGCTACATTGCGTCACGATATGGGGAAGCATAAAATGGTACCTGGTCATTTCTCTCTTTTATTGGGTATCTACCCGTGGGCCTCTTCATAACGAGACCTACGCCAAACGCTTGATCGCGACCTGGTCATCTTGGGCGACCTTTGCAACGCACCCTCTCGAATAAAAATACCCTGCCCACGTTGGCAACCAAAACGCCTCTCCATAGATGATGTATTCCTGTACGTCTTTTGACCTCATTCCCTAAAGACCAGCATCAATCCGCTAGCATTCCCGTCCGTAGCATCAACCGGTGCTACTAGTGCGCGACTCCTTCGAGTCGTCATCCTCATCATCCTCTGCATTTCCGGTAGAGTCAAGACTCGACTTCCGGTTCTCGCGGAGCAGAGCGGCAGCCTCACCGACCTCCATCTTGTGGAGCCTCTCTTTCTGGTTCGAGTTGATGAGCTGGTCGCCGGACACGACTTCGAATTCGTCTTCCTCCTCATCGTCGTCGTCGTCGCTATCGCCGGTCGTGCTAGGCGGTGCTTTGGCCGACGCTGCAGACGTAGTCTGTGACAGGTTGCTGTACCCTCGTGGCTGTAGATACGAATTGGGGTCGATGGGCTTAATGGTGGGATCGAAAGAAGCAGGCAGTCCAAGTGCCTTCGCCACCTGGTGGGCCTCCTCGTCCGGTGTATGCCTGATTTCGACCTCGTACATGCTGCTGCGCTCGCTATCGGCCTCGTGCCTGCCCCCCGTTGCCGACAGCATTTTGACGTATGTCTGTCGCTCTGAGTCGTTTTGTCTCTTATTCTTCTTCTTCTCTCGCTTCTCGGTCGGGCGAACGACAACGACGGGAACCGGGGAGTACTGCAGACAGTACTTGGAGAAGGAGTTTCGGGTGTTGACGAGGCCTTGGAGACCTCCGAGGGATCGACCACGGGTACCTACGATGAGCATAGCAGGTTGGTAGATTTGGATCTGAGTTCATATTCGTCAGCTTTGCGCTCTCCATTTAGTTCGCCAGGAGATTTCAGCGTGGCCACTCACCAGCTTCTGGAAGGTCGAGTGCAGTTTTCCGCAGGCGTATTCCAGAACAACACTGATGGCTCGGTTTGCGCCGTTGCGCTTAAGAATCGACTCCATAACCTTATTGGCATCCTTTTGGTACGCATCGTTATCGGTGCGCACTTCCTTTTCAATGACGCGCACGCACACAATCTCGTCGCCATCATCGACAAGCTCGTCGAGCAGCCATTGCAACGCATAGTCGGAATAGGAGTGCTCGTCGACGCCGACCATGAATGTACGCGACCTCCTCTGGGCCTGGTACCCCTTATGTCTGACATTCAACGTCAGCGACGGCGTGTTGTTCTTAGTGGCCTCGCCCAGCGGCAGATTGTCGAATGCGACATGTGTCTGGAACCTGTCCGGCGCGGGGGTTTGAGTTAGCGTTGCCATTAAGAAACGATGTCAGCGAGAAGCAAAGCCCGCAACGAGTTGTGCGACGAAGTTTTTGTTTGACGAAGACGCGATAGAAAAGCTGTGGAGTGTGAAAATGGACACGGCGACTGGCCAGGATCGGGGAAGAAAAATCGACAAGCGCCTTGGGTGCTGCGTTTGGTGGTGAGACAGAGACTTGGAGGCAGCCGACACCAAAAGCAGGGAAACTGGTTGGATGGATTGCGACACAGCACTGACAGCGTCCGTTCCCCCTCCAGCTTAGGTACGGCTCATTCCGGGCCAAGCGTGGCTGTGGATGAGCGACTTTGGCGCCTCCTCGGCCTCCTTTGTGAAGGGTAAACGAAGAGGCACAGGCGCAATCAGCGGGGTAGTGGGGTCAATGATGAACAGCCCTGGCGAATTGCAGCGCCTCCTCTTCTAGCAGTGTCGTGTGATCGTGTGGGAAATTGCAACGTTCTGCTGGCCGCTGCATTCGGATGGAGGGGAAGAAACCGTGCGGCGATGGTCGAGAGGCTTCAACACCGTAGACAACGACGCCTTCCGCCTCCGCCTCTTGAATATTTTTTGTTGTTTGTTGTTTGTGCAATGGGCGCAATCCCAGGCAGTTCGTCCTAGCAACAACATTGGCAACTCGGTTGATGCTTGTTTCGCATGAAGAAGGGGTCCTTTCCCGCAGAGACGCCGTCATGACTAAGGTTAGACTTGGGATGCGGCGGCGGCAGTGTCGTCGAACCCCACCATTCCCGGCCCAGCTCCACGACCATCAGACACTGGAGTCAGCACCCGCATCCCGCATCCCCCGTCTTTGGCAGCTTTCAATGGGCAGCCAGTCGACAGTCGCATTCTGCCCGCATCAAGCATGCTGCCCAACTGCTGCTTTGGGACGTCATAAGAGGTGGGTACGTGTGAGTGACGGCCGCACCCTACAAGTCCAAACTATCCTTCATGTACTGTTGTTTGCGCCAACCAGGACAAGTTGGCTTGCAGATATGCCGCGGAAACGTCGGCTGTGACTGGACCCAGGAGGTTCTTCATTCGTTCCATGTTGCCAATCGACTGGAAAGCTGCTGCACTGCGTGAGGTATACAGATATCACGGTAGGTAAGGCAGCATAAGCATATGAGCTAGACAGGCTCCCAAGCCACACTGCAGCTTGTGCATCCGACTTTGCCGGCGACATTGCCCATCTTCGCTCGACCTCATAAAAGGTTCGGCTGCCCCAACTCGGAGCCTCAACGTCCAACGTCTCCGGTGGAGTGTGCATTTCAAACGAGAGACAGCGAGGAAATTGTTGCGCTTACCTGTCATGAGCAGGAGACGACGCTCTAATGCGCTCCTTGTCTGTTGTTCTCTTGGCTCCTTGCGGCAGCGATAGGTTTCGAACCGGTGCAAACGTCAGCGATCCTATCGACGACCCCCTATGCCTTCCGGCGAACGACTCGGTCCTGGACGATTCGGCAGAGAAGCTTCCTTTTGCGCTCTCCAAAGACGGACTTGCAAAGCTCGAGAGTGTCGTAGCACGGCTCAACGCTCCAGCATCTCCACCCTTAGCATCCTCCTCTTTCTTCTGCGACTCGAGGGAGAAGTAATCCGCATTGGACTTGTCTTTGGGCTGCAACGGGGACTTGGGCGAAATGTCCGCCGAGTCGGGGCTCTGGACGGGGAGCGTCGTACGGGGGCTAGGACCCGACATCGTGTGTCGTCGGGGAGGGTTCTGAGTCTGCGGTGGCGGTGAAGGTTTTGGCAAAGATATCTTGCGCGGCGGCGGGGGCAGCGGCGGCGAGGGTGTGTCTTTTGTGGATTTCTTGTTCTTCTTTTTTGAGCTTTGGGGCAGCAGGAATACGCTACGCCAGTTATCTGTTGGCCGCATCGGTAGGCTTCACGACAGCTGTGGAAACCCGGTCAGCATGAGGGACTGAGGGAGCAATTCGCGGCCAGCAGATGTTGGTTGCAAAGTCGCACTTCGGCTGGACCCCTAAAAGAGTGGATCGCAGTCGCGAAACGAGACGTCTTCCGTGGACCGACCAGCTGAAAGAAAGAAAAAGCCCCAACGGTGTGGATTTACGCGCGGAGATGGCTGATGGTGGACTGACTACACGGTCTAAAGCAGGAAAGGGGCGTCTGTCGACTGGCGTGCGAATCGAACAGAGACGGTCAGAGCGTTTCTGGCCGTTGTGTGCTCCTGGCAAGATACGATAGCTCGGACGGGTGCGACGGTACGAATACAGGCAGAGGGCGGTAGTTGTGGTTGTTGGCACGGGTCGATGCTGATTCAGGTGAAGTCTGATGTGGTATTGGCTTTTACTTTTGCTTTGCCATGTGCGGAAAACCTTCTGTGTAATAAGGCTGGTCGACAAAAAGGTAATTTTCGAAGGAGGATCCGAAAAAAAGACTGGGCAAAGAGGAAAAAAAACTCCGGTGTTGGTGATTCGGCAAAGCTGAGCAGGGCTGTGTATCGTGGGCGCGCGTGGGTTTGGCTGCGGAGCGTCTTCTTTTATGGAAGCGGTTCGGCGTATGTAAGAGGCGGTTATGCCAAGGCTGGCGGGGCCTCACAAGGCGCAGATTTGCCTGGAGATGGTGTTGTTGTCGATACAGGAGAGGGAGTTCTAACGAGACGGGGTGTGGCGTGGCGGTAGCGCGTCTCCTAGGTCCGAAGGGTCAGGAAATATGGTTTGGGTTGCTGCTGCTGCTGCTGTGACTTTGGGTAGCAGACCAGACCAGACCAGACCAGGCCGACGAGATGAGGTGAGCAGGTGATCGTTGACCGGGATGGCAGCTGTTGAGTCGACGGTGCGCCGCGCAGAGATGAGCTTGGCTAAACGAGATGGAGCCACCGAAGAAGTACCCAAGCGGGAAGAATGCAGCGGAAAGGTACGCAACAGTCGAGACCCGAGTTCGTGGTAGACATGCGCCGGAGAAGGAGTCCAGTATCTTGGCTGCGGGGAGCAGCGGCGCGGACGGCGTGGAATGGGGAGAGGATAAGACAACTGGGAAGAGAAGAAGCTCGAGAATGGTGTTGTAAAAGTCTGGGCATGCGTCGGTTACGTTATAATGCGAGAGGAAAAGCAAATAGCCGTCCGTCACAGAGACACCTGGATGGGCATGAGGTAGGTGGACGTGCAAAAAAGAATAAGTCGGGTGTCTGTGTCTGTAGGGCAAGCAGGTCTTGCATGCGGAGGATCTCTCTCATCTAAGTACAAGGGCATTCTACTTTTTCTTTCTGCCCCTCCCTCGTTTGCAAGAGGCGGAGGGAGGGTGCACATCTTGAATGTGACGCACAGCGCCGTGGGCCTTGGAGGGCATGCAACCAGCAGCAACGCAGCAGCCGTAGCAGCAATGGAGCAGCAAGGATATGTGAGGGGTGCGCTGCGGTGCCCTGGCCAGACCCAGACAGCCTGGGTCTTGATGCTGAGGTGAAGTGTGAGTCTGCCAGCTGCATGGTGGAAAGGAGGGAAGCTTCCAGGGAAGGGGGAATAGGGAGGGGAGAACACCAACACTGGCAAAGGCAAACAGGATGGTGGTGGTGCTGGTGCTGCTGAAAGGGGAAGGGCGAGGTGAGGGATCCAAGGATGACGGCAGAAGGGTGGAGGAGGAGAATGGAGGACGGGGCACGAGATGGAGGGGAGGGGCCCGGGAAGCAGGCACTGGGTGTCTTGAGGGAAGGCAGGGGTTTACCTTCCTTACACCTACCTGCCTTACACTTTAGAAGTAAGGTAGAAGTAGGATACAGGTGAGGCAAGAGAGTCTTTGAGGAATGTGTGCAGTATATAATTGGAAAGAATGACTATTACCTCGGGACATGGCACCTTCTCTACTTACGACTTCGAAAATAAATAGCCTTTGGAGGAAAGAGCACTTCAGTTTGATTAGGAATGAAGGGCATGGAAAGTCAAGAGGGAACCTCTACTTTGCCCACGAGGCAGGTATCGCAGCAAGTACCTGCCCGTAGGTGCCTTCCAAGACAGCTGAAGGCAGGTGAGGTGTAGCTGGGGAAGCTAGGGCCACAGCCAGGCACCTGCTGGTCCAGCTGCACCTGCTGCACCTGATCCTGCCCTCCTGGAATGGAGAATGGTACTGGACGACAGCACGGAGGAAGGCCCGATGAACACTCTTTCCGTTTGCTTCAGAACGAGACAGAACACATCATCGCCTTCTCGTCTCCCACTTTTACCCATCCCAAGGACCTCTTTTCAAGGAAAACCCTACCATTCACAGCACCCGCCCGACACAAGATCAGCCAGGCACGTTAACTCTCCGGCGATCTCATCTCATATCTCATCCCTCACGACCTTCGGACCGCATGCCCTGGCCGCCTAGACAGCTCCCCAGTCCCAGGATTCGGTCGCCAGCCCCAAAATAACCTGAGAACACCACCCAAAACTCGCCAAGACCACCCAAGTACCGAGTCCAACCATCCAGTGCCTCTAACGGCTCTCATTACACATCTGCCTGCCTTTCAAGCTTCTCGGGACCCGTTTCCAAGCACCCGCCACTGCCTCATCCCTGTCCTCTCGACGCCGGACTGCTGCAGACTTACACCCTCTATCGAGACGGCCGCGGCTCGACCAGAACTGACTCGACTCAACTCCAACCGACGGAATGAACGACTCTTCGGATATTCGCCCATACCTATCCCTATCCATACGGATACCTAAGCATTCGCCATCCGCACCCCGGCGCCTGCTGCGCTCTCGAGTCTGCCCGGTGTTTGCTACCACGGTGCTGTCGGCGCCTGCAATGACATGACATGGCATGACGGCGCTCTTTGGGGGCCGGCGTGCCTCTGTCAGTGGCCCTCCTTGACGTACGCCGACGTGGACGGTACCTAGACTACAGACACCTTACAGAGTGCCTGGCGCATCAGACGCCGTTAGAACCACGCTTTCAACCAGGCATTTCGGCGAATGCTACACCGTGGCACGCCTCGACTGGGACATACATGATGCCTACGCACACCTTGCCCTCTGTCGCCATATTCTCTGCGAAACCTCCTCACCATCATACCACATTCCCATATTTCCCGTCTCACAAACCCCCGAAACCCAACAATCCCACCAACGTGGGCGGCGGCACGCGGCAGCTTGGTACGCCAAGCGGATTGTCGCAGCCAGCGGGCCCCTCCGCCGAGTTCCTCTAGGTTCTCCGGGGGGCCTCATCGCCAGCAGTTTGCGCCAAACCCCAAGCACAGCTACTGCACAAGCACACTCAACATCGCATTGGACCGACGCATTCCCACGTCTGCCCAGACGGCTCTCCGAGTGCTAAGATTGTCCCCGTTGCTCACTTGCTCGACTCATCACGACCGCGACCCTCCATCTCGTTCTTCTCGTCCACTCGTCAACCTCCAACACGGTCTTGGCAAACCACTCAACCATGTCGGTCCCAGGCTTCCAGCATCCAGGATGGATGAGAAGGTTGTCGTCCACCGCGGTCCTCACAGCAACCTCGAGTCGGTGTGCGCGCCGCCCTAAACCGCTTCTTCTGGCTCACAACTCCAACCTTGCTTCTTTTCATTTTATTCTCGTTAATGAGCCGGCATGCCTCTGATGAGAGCCCCGTCAGCCAACCTCGCAAGCCGGCCCAGCCAATCCACACTTCGTGCCCAACGCCAAGGCCCGCGCCAAGACAACTGTATCTTTTGTGCTGCTTTGGTGCCCCCTAGCCCTGGGTTTCTTTTCACTTCTGTGACCCGACGACGTGCAGGGCTTGATGGGCTTGGGTGGGCGGCGGCTCGCTTCCTTACCCTCTTCTTCGGCGCGCAAATCTCTTGGCCAGGACCCATCGACGTCGCAGGAAGCCGTCTTGGTCACTGGGGTTCGACTCGAGAGGTTGGCTCCCTGGCGCCCTCCACTGTCGAGACAAGACAGTAAGCCCGAGAAGGGAAACATGCAAAGCCAAAAGGGACGTGTTTCCAAGATACCAAGCCGGCAACCACAAGCGGTCGGGAAGAGGCAGCCCATGCCAAGCTGAGAGTGAAGATGGTGCCCATCTTCGCTCATTCCTCGCCATCTGGAATATTCCTGTGGTTGCCATGGCCCATGATGCCATTCGCAGCACATTGGTCTGCCCAGAAATCAGTCCCGATCTTCCGGCCTGCACGTCCTTGTCATCGATAACGTCTCACACTTGCTGTGTTACCTCTCACTGACAAGATGCGCAGAGACAATCTGTGCCGCTTTTTCTTGCAGGCTCACCGAAACAAATCGAGCAAGGTCCCCTATCGGCTTGCAATCAACCGACCAGCCAAATGGCTTGCCTGAGCCACGGGTTTGGTCGGGGGCGGTCGTCGCTTGTCATCTATTAACTTTCACCCCGCCGGTGGGAGCTGTCGACTTCATGATTGATGTTAATTTCAGACGTCGCCGCTGATCGACGGCACATTTTCAAGCCTTGAAAGATAACGGTTCAACAAACCGGCTAATTGTCAGCGTGAAATTGAAATCAGATCGTGGGCTGAGGAGGGCTAATCGCGCGCCACGCTGTCGCATCTTCGGATGGCATTTACGGTGACAATAGATGCGGTGTGAGGTCTATCAAAGCGGCCCTGACGCAGCTTTAACGTTGCTGTGTGGCACACAGTCAGCCATTTCGTTAAGCTCGACCTCCCACCTGCTCCTTCGTGCAGCTTTCCTATCTGACTTACAGCCGACAACCACTCATCACCAGCGCTTCCTGTCAGCCAAGCGCAGAGATTGTGCAAATCTGCAACCTCACTTCTAGATTCCGCGATCGCTTGCGTAAGTTCAAACGTAATCCTGCGCGCTCGCCATCCTGCATGCCGATGCACCTGCAATAGCCGAGCGACAACATCCTCATTCATCGTCGAGTCTCCGCCAACACCCCAGTTGACCCAGAAGACGACGTCAAGCGCGCCCGTGATCTGCGTTTCTGTCGGATTCCCAGATCACACCTCAAGGTAAACTCTTGGCAACTACAAGAGACAAACGAAACAAGCACACGCACACACGCAGGACAAATCTGACTCGCAGAAACTCAGCCAAGACACAAGAGCAAGAATCTAGGACAGCTAGAGCGAATAACGTGAGACACCGTTCATCATTAAACCGCTAGCCTCACGCAAGTGGCACATGTTCAACCACACCAGATAATGTTCCTTGGGGAACATAGGCCTCCAATTTTTCTGTGCGGATCAGCCCGTCCCTCCCGATCATTTCCCCGGTCTGCCGACGCAGGCTTGAGGACGGACACAATGCCTCAATGGGAAGGCATATTCCCCGCGGGCTCCGCTTCATCGTCGCAAGATAATCGGCCATCGGGAGTGCGGGAGGCGGTTCCATCATCCATGGAGACCGCGGGGTCAAGGGGCCGGCGGTCTTCTGTGGGATCTGGCAAACGCTTCTATCTGAACGGTTAGATCTCAGCCTCCGCCTTGAGATTCCCGGACGAGGGGCCAGGATAGCCCCTCACTCCCATCACCATCCCCGCCTCGGGAGACGCTCCAGGCTTTCCCCCTCCCGTGGCAACTTCAGCCCGTTCAACCGCCACGGGTGTCAAGGTTCAGCACCGCAGCGACCGGAGGCTTTGAAAAATGTCCGCACATTCCCAGAAGCACATGTCCGGACATCAAAAACTGCATCAAAACTGCAAACGTACCCAGGCGCAGGCCTTGGCGTGTTTCTCTCGCCAGGTTTCACATCAGAGGCTTTCACGCGAGGAAAGTAATCTAAGGCACAACGTCGAGGTGACAAAAATAGGTTGCGCTCGACGACCTCATCACAAAGCCTTCTCATTTCGAGGGTACGAGGCACACGGCACAGACCGATCTTGACTGAATCTCTTGACTTGACTTCTTTACGGAACATTGCCCGCCTGCAGCCAGTGAAACTCTCCGGGTAGGAGCAGCCTCGATCGGCGCGACGAGCTCTACATGAGTGATCTTGTCCCATTCACCAGGGAGCCCTGGCCCTGGGGCAACCCTTTTTCTCCGTCTCAGCCTTCCGCACATTGTTCGCTTCCCCCTGAGGCCTCGAATTGATTCGGAATGGACATCGATCGTACTCTTCAATTCTAATTATTCCCTTTGGTTCACTTCATCCCGCCCAGCCAACCAGGCCCAGTGTTCCAGGAAGCAAAGACGCCTGAACGCCGTAACAATGCGAGCATCCCATCCTCCGGGCCTCCCTCGTTTTACCATCCCATGATTTTGCTTTTCTCCCCTCTCCCCCTTCGTCTGCCTCGACCACAAGTGTCGTCAGTGACGAGATCAAAAGTTTTCACCTCCCGACGGCAGGTCTGGTAGAAAAACACCATAGGACTCTCTCTGCCCAAACCTGGTCGGCCCCCTCTCTCAACACACAGCTGTTTCTCCCCTGTTTTCCAATAAGTGGCCAGCTGCACATCACTCTTGCCTCCTGGTTGTATAGGGCCCTAGTTCTCTGCCATCGCTCAAGCGTACGTGCGGGAGAGGTTGCGGAGGTACCAGTCCACCAGCTTGCGTCCGACCTTGGCCTCGGAGATGTGGATCAGGTCCTAAAATCGCATGTTAGCTTTGCTGCTTTATTTGAAATCGTGAACGTAGAGGGGTCTACTTACACCCTGCATAGCGTAGTCAAGGTCGCTAACGTTGACCAGGTCGCCGTCCAGCAGGCTGCCGTCGGTCCAGCGGAGCTGCTTGGTGCGCTGCTTGTTAACGAGGAGCCAGGAGCGGAGCTCGTCGGGCTTGACCTCGAGGAAGCCGGCGAGCTTGTTGAGGTCCATGGTGGTGTAGAGGCGCAGGTAGGACTTGACGGTGGGGCTCATCATGTTGGTCTTGACCTCGTCCATGAAGATGGCGAGGTGGTGCTCGACGGGGTCGATGTTGGACTCCGGGTTGTCAAAGTCGGGGGGCACGGGGGAGATGAACTTGGGGCAGGCGGCGCGGAAGAGCTCCTCGAAGATGGGCAGGGACTCGGGGCCGCCGCGCTGGAGCTTGAGGAGCTGGTCGCCGTACTTCTCGCGCAGGGCGGAGTGGATGGTGTCGTCGAGACGGGTGGGGTGGAAGGCGACGCAGATGGCGATGAGGGCGTACATCTGGTCGTTCTTCTTGGTGATGGAGTCGTACTGGGCGTTCTTCTGGAAGTTCTTGGTGCGGCTGACGTAGACCAGGATGTGGTTGAACATGCGGATGGCGTCGGCGTAGCGGTGCATCATCATGTAGGAGAAGCCGACGTAGTAGTACGTGGTGAAGTGGGCGGCCATGACGCGGGCGAACATGGCCTTCTTGTTGAGCTCGATGTCGTCGAGCGTCTTGAGGGCGAGGCTGAAGTCGCCGAGCAGGCAGTGAACGCGCAGCAGCCCGATGATGGAGAAGTAGCCGAGCATGCGGTACAGGTTCTTGGTGCCGTACTCGCCGGCGACGGCCATGGGGTCCTCGTTACGGCGCATGGCGGCCAGCTGCTCGGTGATCTGGGAGCGCTGGATGAGCGAGTAGAGGACGTTGAGGACCGAGTAGCAGCCCCAGGTGTTCGGGTTCTCCTTGAGGACCTGCATCTCCTCCTCGTTGGAGGCCTGGCGGGCGATGCGCATGCGGTACGAGGAGAAGGAGTTGAACTGGTAGATGAACTCGTCGATGACGTCCCAGGCCCAGTAGTACGAGGGCGGCTCGAGGTCGACGGGGCCCTCGGAGTTGAGGATGAAGTGGAAGAGCGAGCAGTAGCTGTCGTAGCTCTGGAACTTGACCTCGAGGGGCGCGGAGAAGTCGAGGGGCTGGGCGGCGGCGGCGAGACGCGACTGGATGTCGTCCGTCTGCTGGGCCATGGTCAGGCTGTTGACCTGCTCGAGGTCCTCGCCGATGATGCCATCCTCGTACTGGACCTGCTCCTTGTAGTCGTTGACGAGGGCCTCCTCCTCGACGTCGCTGTCGTCGTCCATGGTGCGGACGGGCCGCTCTCCGTTCTGGTAGCCGCTCATTTTTTTTTGGTAGTCGGTGTCGGTTCTATCCTTCTCCGGGGTTCGTTACCTGGAAAAGAAAAGAACAGAAAGGAGGAAAGAAAAAAAAAAAGGAGGACGGCAAAATTGCTCGTCGTCTGTCGGCTCGCAGGGTGGTGGTTGAGGACAGGTAGGCGGTGCGGCGGTCGTTCTCGGAGCGATCGCTTGTCTCGTTCGGGGGAGGAGGAGGGAGGGTGGGAGTGGGGGTGGGCAAAATTTGATGTCCGCTCGCGATAACCTCAGCAAAATGCCCCCTCAATACGTGACCTTCTGCGGGATGTGTGTGGCCGTTCACTCACGGGAAAAAACGACAAGGTGCCAAAAACCCTAAGCGAATGGTACCGCTCCGGTAGAGCGATGGCGCTCGGATGATGCATAGGCGGGGCGAAGATGGTTATCCGGTGTTTTGGCGGGGTCGGCGGGGTAAATTTCGGGCGGCGGGCACATTGGCTGCGCTGAGGTAATTGCAACCAACGGTGACCAGTGCTCTGCTGCTCCTGCTGCTGCTGCTGACGGGAGATCCGCCAGGACAAAGGCGGGCGAGAAAAAAAAAAGTTGCATTAGATACATACACTGTACAACATCACTCATCGGCCATCGCAAGGGGGCTGAGTTTGACTTGATACGTTCCAATATCACACACATACCAACAACTGCCTGACCTGACCTGACCTGCAACAACGATAGAAAAGAGTCATCTTGCCCTGTGCCGTGCAGCCACACGTTCGAAAGCATCAAAAGTGGCGAATCAGCTGTGTCTGCTGTGCTTCTTTGCGGCGGCCTATTAGTCACGGGCCTGGACCAATTAGTCGCTGGATTTCATCATCACTGCCATCCGGACGACTATCCTTGCTCAACGCCCAGTCGCATCGACTTTCACCGTGGTGCTTGTACACACGACGTTGGCATATACAAAGGGCGCCCGCTTCTTCTTACTTCGCTGTCTCGTCTCATTCACTCGGCATTGCTTTCTGTCTATAGATCTTTTTTGATACCCCAACCCCACCTTCAACCTCACTTCCGTACCTCGCTTTTCTCACATAACCACCGCCCAACATGCCCGTAGTGACACCCGAAAAGCTGGCCAGCCTGCAAAGGCATGCGGCCGACGTCCGTAATGTACGTGATCCCCCTTGGACGTGGTCTTCGCGAACCTCTTTATGGCTAACCTAACAAAGATCTGCATCCTGGCGCACGTAGACCACGGCAAAACCTCTCTCACAGATGCTCTGCTCGCCACGAACGGCATCATCTCACCCAAGCTCGCCGGCAAGATCCGCTACCTCGACTCCCGCCCGGACGAGCAGCTCCGCGGCATCACCATGGAGTCCTCCGCCATCTCCCTCTACTTCTCCATGCTCCGCCGCTCGGCCCCGGACGCGGACCCGGAGGCCAAGGAGTACCTCATCAACCTCATCGACTCGCCGGGCCACATCGACTTCAGCAGCGAGGTGTCCACGGCCTCGCGCCTGTGCGACGGCGCCGTCGTGCTCGTCGATGCCGTCGAGGGCGTCTGCAGCCAGACCGTCACCGTGCTGCGGCAGACCTGGACCGAGAAGCTCAAGCCGCTGCTCGTCATCAACAAGATCGACCGCCTCGTCACGGAGCTCAAGATGTCGCCCGGCGAGGCGTACACCCACCTCAGCAAGATCCTCGAGCAGGTCAACGCGGTGCTCGGCAGCTTCTTCCAGGGCGAGCGGATGGAGGAGGATCTGAACTGGAGGGAGCGTATGGACGAGCGCGTGCAGGCGGCGTCGTCCAAGGATACCGGAGCCGAGCAGATGACTGAGTCGGGCGAGCTGCAGTTCGAGGAGCGGGATGACGAGGATCTGTACTTTGCGCCGGAGAAGAACAACGTCATCTTCAGCAGCGCCATCGACGGTTGGGCGTTCACAGTCCGGCAGTTCGCGGGCCTGTACCAGAAGAAGCTGGGCATCAAGAGGGACGTCATGGAGAAGGTCCTCTGGGGCAGCTTCTACCTCGACCCCAAGACGAAGAAGATCCTGGGCCAGAAGCATCTTAAGGGGAGAAATTTGAAGCCCATGTTCGTTCAACTAGTCTTGGAGCCCATCTGGACGGTCTACCAGGCGACCGTCGGCGGCGATCACGGCAAGGGGGATCCGGTGCTGTTGGAGAAGATTACAAAGTCGCTGGGGCTCAGCATCCCGCCGCACATTATGCGCGCCAGAGATCCAAGACTGCTTCTGACGACGGTCTTTGCCTCCTGGCTGCCACTATCCACGGCCCTGCTCGTCTCTGTCGTGGAGTCGCTCCCGTCGCCACCCGCTGCGCAGGCGGAAAGACTTCCAGAGATGCTGGAGGACGTCCCTGGCGCCGAGGCCATCAACGAGAAGATCAAGTCAGCCATGGTTTCATTCAAGACTGCCAAGGAGGACCCCGTGGTAGCGTATGTTTCCAAGATGGTTTCCATCCCCGAGTCTGAACTGCCTCAGAACAAGCGCCGCGGCCAGCTCTCCGCCGACGAAGCCCGCGAGCTCGCCCGCAAGAAGCGCGCAGAAGCAGCACGCGCCCAGGCCGCGGCTACCAACGCCCAAAACGGCGTCAACGATCTCACGAAAGCGCTGGAAGAGGTTAACCTCGATGACTACACCCCGGAGAACGAGGAGAAGGAGGTCGACCCGGAGCACCTCATCGGCTTCGCGCGCATGTACTCCGGCACACTCACCGTTGGCGACTCCCTCTGGGTCATCCCGCCCAAATACTCCCCCGCCAACCCGGACGCCGAGCCCAAACCGGTCCAAATCACTGTCACCGCGCTGTACATGCTCATGGGCCGCCAGCTCGAGGCGCTCGAATCCGTCCCCGCTGGCGTCGTCTTCGGCATTGGCGGCCTCGAGGGCCACCTCCTCAAGAACGGCACGCTCTGCAGCACCCTCGACGGGGCCGTCAACCTCGCCGGCGTGGCCACCCTCGGCAAGCCCATCGTCCGCGTCGCCCTCGAGCCCGTCAACCCCGCCGACCTCGACAAGATGATCCACGGCCTGCGCCTGCTTGTCCAGTCCGACCCGTGCGCCGAGTACGAGCAGCTCAGCTCCGGCGAGCACGTCATCCTCACCGCCGGCGAGCTGCACCTCGAGCGCTGCCTGACGGACCTCAAGGAGCGCTTCGCCCGCTGCGACATCCAGGCCGGCGCCCCCATCGTGCCCTACCGCGAGACCATCGTCCGCGCCGAGGAGATGCGCCCGCCCGCCAACAAGGACCTCGGCCGCGGCGTCGTCGTCGGCACCACGTCCTCCAAGCAGGTCTCCGTCCGCATCCAGGTCCGGCCCCTCCCCGCCGACGTGACCGACTTCCTCCTCAAGAACAGCGACGTCATCAAGCGCATGTACTCGGACCGCAAGGCCGCCGCCTCCGACGAGCCCGAAGCCACCGCCGCAGAGGACAAGATCGAGGCCGACACAGACCTCTCCGCGGCTAAGACAATGTCCCTCGACGAGTTCAAGCAGAAGCTTCAAAAGGCCCTCGAGACAGGCCGCCACCGCGAGCCCTTCAAAGCCACAATCGACCGCATCGCAGCCTTCGGACCCCGCCGCACCGGCCCCAACCTCCTCATCGACTCAACCAAGGACGGCCTCCTCTCCAAAATCTTCTCCTCCGCCGCCGCCGGCACCGAAGCCAACCCCGACGCTCCCTCTGCCCCGCTCGCAGACGAGGCCCTGCGCCCCTCCCACGTCGCCGACAAGATCCCCTACGCCTTCCAGCTCGCCACCGCCCAGGGGCCCCTCTGTCACGAGCCCGTCCAGGGCATCGCCGTCTTCCTCGAGGACGTGACCATCCACACCACCGACGACGACCCCAACCCGCTCGCCCGCGACCGCCTCCCCCGCCTCACAGGCGAGATCATCAAGACCTTCTCCGCCTCCCTCCGCTCCGGCATGCTCGACTGGTCCCCGCGCCTCATGCTCGCCATGTACTCCGTCGAGATCCAGGCCTCCACCGAGGTCCTCGGCCGCGTCTACGACGTCCTCACCCGCCGCCGCGGCCGCGTCCTCTCCGAGGCCATGAAGGAGGGCACCCCCTTCTTCACCATCCAGTCCGTCCTCCCCGTCGCCGAGTCCTTCGGCTTCGCCGACGAGATGCGCAAGCGCACCAGCGGCGCCGCCCAGCCCCAGCTCATCTTCGCCGGCTACGAGGTCCTCGACGAGGATCCCTTCTGGGTGCCCTTCACCGAGGACGACCTCGAGGACCTCGGCGAGCTGGCCGACAAGGAGAACGTCGCCAAGCGGTACATGGACGGCGTGCGGAGGAAGAAGGGCTTGTTGGTCGAGGGCAGGAACGTGGCGCGTGATGCGGAGAAGCAAAAGACGTTGAAGAGGTAGCGAAAAAAAGTTTGTAGGCATTGTAAAAGAGATTAAAAAGCAGAGAATAGAATTCACGAGCGTTTTGCATCATCGTATTTTACAACCCCAGAGGCACCAAAGACCAGTGTTTAAAATTTGCAACTTTTTGTATTCCCATGCAACACTATCATCTATTTCGCATCCAGCAAAAGCCCACCTCCCGAATTCCTTCTCGCAAACCCCTTCGTCCGATCATTCTTTCGTCACCTCAGAAGGGAAAAACATTAAACACCAACGAATTTTCCCCGCTCATCGTGTTCTTCGTGCAGTCTTTCTCAAATCGTCAGCTGGTAAAAGAAAACTTGGAAGGCATGGGGCGCGACGTAAACGTTTCCGCCTTCAAAAACACAAGCTTGCTGAATTTGTGGTATCGAAGGAAGGAGACAATGAAAAGGGGTGGAGGGGAGAGTGGGCAACCGTTTTTAAAGACAGGGGAAAAGGACTCATGAGCGTGCGTGTCTGGTAAAAATTCGAAGGAAGCTCTATTCGTAGCACTGCATGAGGGGGTCGGAGCCGAGAACAAGAATATTCGGAGGATCTGAGGAAGGCGGCGGGAGAGAGGAGTAGTTTTAACTGGTGTTTGTGATTTGTGATTCCCTAATGCTCTTTTTCAATGTCACTAGGAACAGACAATCCCTTGTCGGATCGAGGATTTGCTGGCGAGTCGAGAGAGGAAAAAACCCATAGGCCGAACTTTTCTGAGCGCGACAGCAAGAAGGGGGAAACGAGATAACAAAGGAGAAAAAGATACGACGAAAAAAAGACAATATTTGGTCATGACACCCCTTTCCCTTCCAACATCCATGAGCCCTTATTTTTTGTAACCACTTCGCAAACTCCGATGAATGCGTGCGAGCTGCGCGCCTTCTCCAGTCGTTGAGAGTCGAGGAGACTGTTCTTTTGTGTTGCCTCGCGGAGAGACAATCCGAGCAAGGACCGTCGAGGGTGCTGAGTGTGTGAGAGTGAAAAGGAAAGTGTTTGGTTTTCTTCTCCTTCAGCAATCCGGATGAGCCAGGTTTCTTTCTTCGCGGGGGAGAAGAGCAAAATATCAGGAAAAAGCGGAAGATCGTGGCCCCCCTCAAGCTCCGATGATGCGGTTCATGGCGTGAAGTCGTTCGTCAGAATCGTACGAGTCATCTGGGTATATGTGACGAGGAAACTCGTCTAGGCCCGGCATGCAGACAATTGGGCGCAGCTTATCCGCAATGAATGCGGCCTTTGCCCCATCATGTCCAACTGGACGCTGAAGGATAGTGGGAGGCGCATAAGCCCTCTAGGCAGTGCCGCGAGGGCCAACGTTGCGCCGGTTCTTGTTGGGAACCGTAGTCCAACCGTCCTCCTCAACAGGGGCCTCGCCGTCGGCGGCGGGGGTGGAGGGCTCACGGGCAGCAGGGCCGCCGTTGGAGCGCGGGGGGCGGGCGTTGTCGAAACGGCCACCACGAGGACCGGCACCGCCACGACCACCGCGGGGTCCAGTGGGGGCACCACGAGCACCTCCGGAAGACGCCGATCTCCAGCTGCTGGCCTCAGTGGCACGGGAGGTCTTGGCCGCCTCGCGGGGCTCCTTGGGCTCCTTTGATCGGATAGGAACCTTCTGCTCGTCAGAGGCACCGTTCTCCTTGCTCTCTTCCTCCTTTGCGGCCTCGGGGGCCTCCTCCGCAGCCTGGGCAGCCTCCTCCGCGGCCTTAGCCTCCTGCTCGGCCTTCTCAGCAGCCTCCTTGGCAGCAGCCTCCTTGGCCAGACGGCGCTCTTCCTTGGCCTTCTCATCGGCTTCCTTCTTCTCCTTCGCCTGCTGCTGCTTCTTCTCCTCGATCTCACGCTCCTTCGCGGCGGTGTCGATAGGACGGGCGGCACCGAAGGGGCTGGCCTTAGAGTCAGTGCCGGAAGGGGAGAGAACATCGGGGGCTTCGGAAACGGTGCGCTTGGCGAGGTTCAGTCTGGGGCGGCCAACAGGGGCAGCAGGGGCAGCGGCGGGGGAGGACGGGGCCTCGCTGCCATCGCGAGACTGGCTACCGGACTTGACAGCCGCGTCAGGGCGCATCTTGGATCTCCACTGGTTGTCCTGCTCGGCGGCGGTAGGGGTACGCTCGGGGCGGGGGGGACGAGAGTCCTGGCGGGGTTGCTGACCCTCTCCCCAAGCAGCGGGAGACTGGTGACGGTTGCGGAACTCGCGAGGTCCATCGTTGGTGCGGGGACGGCTGCCCTCGCGGGAACCGCGCTCCTCCTTGGGAAGGGGAGAGAGGGGGCCTCTACGCTCCCAGTTGCCGAAGTCACGGGTCTTGCCGTCATCCTCGCGGGGCTCGCGGGGCTCACGCGGGGCACGGCGCTCGCCAAATTCGGAGCCACGGCGGTCGCTTCCACCACGGCCGGGGAGGTCAGGGAGGGGGCCCTTGCGGGTCCAGTCGCCGAAGTCGCGAGTAGACTCACCGCGGTCGCCACCACGGGCTAAATATGTGTTAGCAACGGTCGAGATATTTGTGTCGTCGCGTGGGCATGCTTACGCGGATCGGCAACCTTGATTCTGATGACACGGCCCTGGAAAGACTGGCCGTCCAGAGTCAAAGCCTGCTTCAAGCCCTCGAGGTCCTGGAACTCGGCGTAGGCGAAACCCTTGGGACGCTGCTGCTCGCGGTCCTCGATGATGCGGACGTTAACGATGTTGCATCCCTCAAAAAACTCGGTGACGGTCTCGACGGTGGCATCGTAGGAAAGGTTGCCCAGGTGAGCGGTATAGGGGGGCTTGTCGGGGAGCGTCTGGGGGAGGTTCTCGCGGATGGAGGAGTAGCCGCCGTAGTCCCCTACAATATCATTAGCATGTGGGTTGAATGACGTAGATGCAGTTGGAACAAAAACTCACTGCGCTCAGGGCGATCGCCGCCGCCGCTGCCCCAGCCACCTCCGGAGGGTCGGTAGCCAGCCCGCTCAGGGGGAGGAAGTGCCTGAGTGCCTGCAAACACATGTCAGTGGACGGAAAGCCTTAGAGTGCAAGGCTGAGACGGGGAGCTGTCGCATACCGGCTGCATAAACGTTAGCGAGACTGTCTGCTGCATGTGGTTGGCGCCCAAGAAAAAAACTCACAGAAAGTATCCTCGACCTCATCTGCCCACGATCCTCCGTAGCCTGCACAATGTCAGTATTTCGTGTCCATAATCTGCGCGGTGAATCGGTCGTTCGACGGGTTGTGGGATGCTTCGGGGTTCGGAGAACAGGGGAAAATTTTGTCGAGGGGTTGCGACTGACTTTGGTCTTGCAGGAAGTCGCCAAGCGACATCTTCTGCTGTTCCTTCTTCTTGGGAGCTATGATGACATGACGAGTTAGCGCCAGCACGGGTCTGAGGCGACACGACGGTCGTCGACGAAGGGTAGCTCACCCATGATTGCGGTGTTGAGGGGGCTTCGCGCAACGATTCAGATCGAGGCGCGAGGCGGGGGAAAGGTGGTAGCCGAACGAGGCGGCTGTTCGCAAGGGGTGTTGGTGGTGGTGCGGAGGCTGGATATCCGAGGGATATTCTGCAGGTCGAGATGCCGCCGTGGGAGGGAGGATCTCGTGCGCCGGAGTCGAGAGTGTCGATTGGCGATTTGCGTCAGGAATGCGCTTCAGACTAGATATGGCCCAGCGTATATGGTATGCTGAGGCGGTAGTCTTCCGGAGAAAGGTGAAGTTTTACCCGCGCAGAAAGAGTGGTCGAAAGTTTGTGAGGGTTGGACAATTTTCTCGAGAGTGGCCAGGAGGTGGGAGGCACTAGCCCCGCTGCGGCTTAGCGCAGCTTTTTTACCTAGCGCCCCGCCAAAGAAGCACGGACCATCATAGCCGGGCAAACCCGTGATTGAACAATCCGCCTGCTGTGAGAGGGGCAACCGGAGTCTTGGGGGGGAGGGGAAGCCTGCGGTCGACCTCACTCCAGCGCTTCGCTGTCTGCTGCAGCGCTGCTGGGGAGTGCTTGGGCCACAACGTCGGCCGGCTCTTGCATCTATCCGGAGTGCACGGTTAAAAACGTTTTGAGCCGCACCGAAACATTTAGAAACGGCCCCTCGCTTGTTTGTCATCTCCTCGTTTGCTGCATAATCGATATCTGCGTGGGGAAAGCTTCCAGAACACTCGTCGCGTCGTCCCCTGCATTGCGTTGTCGCTGGATGTCTGGGCCCTGGCTTCCTGCAACCTGCCGCCAAAATCGATATGGCAGATGACGCGCAAGACGATGTGAGGGAGAGGCGGCGGCAGCGCCAGCGCCGTGGGCTGCTGCCCCCAGAGCTTGTCGACCTCACGGGACCGCCCTTGAAAGTTGGCGCCCTGACTGGTAGGTTCTCATCTGAGTGGTGAACCACACTATGAAATACTCGCTAACTTGTAATTCCAAGGCTCCATTGGTCTGTTCAGTGGTATTGCTGCTGGTATCATTCGCGACTCAACCCCAGCCCTGTTTGCGATAGCATCAGGCATCCAATGGTTTGCCCTCGGCTCCAGTTACTGGCGTGAGTATTCCTGTCGCTTTCCTCAAGTCCACATGCTAATCAACTTTTAGTCTCTAGGTCAGTAGCTTTGAATTACCTGGGCCGTGAGGGTCAACTATCCGACTCATCCAAGGTCAAAGCCAGTGCTGTTGCTGGAGGCACTGCTGGCATGGTTGGCGGCCTTATCCGTGAGTGGCATCTCTTGTCATCGTGAAGAACTTCCTAACCTCTAGCAGGTGGTCCCAAGAACATCATCCCTGGTATCATCGTGTTCTCAATCGTGGGTGGAGCAGGCCAAGCCATCGTCAACAGGACACAACAAGTGTCTCCGGATGCCAAGGAGAAGAAGAGCTTCTTCGAATCAAGTTGGAGCCCGCTCAAGAAGCTGTCGGACGACGAGTACCGCGACATGCTTGATGAGAAGATGCTCAAGATTGATGCCGAGATCGCCCTCATTGACGACAAGATTGCCGAGCTGCGGGCTGCTAAGGCAGCGGAGCCTCCATCCAAGCCATCAAGTCCTAAGGCCTAGGTGCTGTCGATTCATCTGCGTACATAATAATACCCAAACATTTAGACTGTAACAATACATGTACAACATCTTCGATCATATTCATACTCTGGATGTTTGCACTCGATGGGATTGTCCAGTCACGCGTCACCAGCGACGATAGTATCGATGACAACACCTGCAACAGTTCTAAGTGAAAGTCGGCCAAGACAAAAAGCTGACAAGAATGAGGGTTTATGCAAATAATTTCGACTAATGGGTCTGCTTTCTTCTCCTGCTTGCCGAGACGCGACACCTTAAGTGCGCCATATGAAGCAGGGCTGGTCTTTTGATCTTCCAGCGAAGCCTACAGATGCAGATGTGCTGCTGCAGTTATGATTGGACGAAGGCAGTTCGACCTGATCGGTCAGCTGGCCACGAAGGCACAACGTCGCGACGCGAAACGTAGCCTGATCGTTTCCTCCAGCTTACATCATTTGGGTCTCTCTGTCACCTGATACTGCGTCGCCTCCGCGTCAAGTTGACCATGAGACTCGTTGACACGACAACCCTCCATCTTCGGGAGTTCTTCGATTCGCAACGGCCCGCATACTCGATTCTCTCGCATACATGGGGCAGCGAGGAAGTAAACTTTCAGGAATGGATGGAGTGGGAGGAGGGAGTCCCAACCCAGAAAGCTCGGGTAGAGGCCAAAAGCGGTTTCCAGAAGATCGAACGCGCATGTCGAGTCGCTCGCGCACATCGTCATAATTACATCTGGATCGATACCAACTGCATCGACAAAAAGAGCAGCGCCGAATTGTCTGAAGCCATCAACTCTATGTTCTCCTGGTATCAGGCTGCTTCAATTTGCTTCATACATTTGGAAGACTTTCCATCAGGTGCCCCCATCAAAAGTATGTCGGAGTGTCGATGGTTTACCAGAGGCTGGACACTCCAAGAACTGCTTGCACCTCGACATGTGGTGTTCTTCAACGCGGCATGGGAACCTTTCGGCACGAAAATCAACCTATGCGCAGAGATCCACGAGATTACTGCCATAGATGTCTTCGCACTTTCCGAGCCATCGACCATCGACGATGCATGTGTTGCTCAAAAGATGTCGTGGGCATCGTCACGACAGACAACACGCAAGGAGGACATGGCTTATTGCCTGCTGGGACTGTTCGGTATCAACATGCCCCTACTGTATGGAGAAGGGGACAACGCATTTTAAGACTCCAGGAGGAAATCATAAAAGTGTTCACGGACCAAAGCATTTTCGCGTGGGACTCGCCCAAAGACGACCCCCTTTACACGATGTTGGCTCCTTCCCCGGCAGCCTTCAGACATTGCCACAAAGTTAAGAGGGATCTACTCGGTGAGCAGAAAAGTCACCCACGCCACAGGGAGTTTACCATTACAAATTTCGGGCTGAACATCTCTCTTCCCCTTCTGGTTCAAAATCAGAGAACATATTTCGGGGCTCTTAACTGTATCTACCCGGAAATGCACGACAAGCTGATTTGCATTCCGCTTTCTGTTCCCGGCTCTATGCCAACTGGAGTTTTCGTCAGGGACGGCTCCCGGGGCGTCATCATGATTCCGCGTCGATACTTTCCTACTGAGCCAACCTCGATTTACGTCCCACGAGACGGCGACATTCTCCGTGGCATGCGACTACCAATAGCCCCCCCCCCCCCCCCCAAAAAAAAAACCCGCGTTCGGGCAGGTCTCATGTCTGCTGTTTCCGTTAAATAACGTCTTGGAAGCCTAGCAGATCAATGAAAGCCGGGCATACATGCGAAGTGCCAAGATATTTTACCAACACCAAGCTTCTTACATCGACGTCAAATCTCTCGTACTGACAAGTCGGCGCAGTCGGGTGAGAAACACGCAATGGATTTTCATCATTCTTTGGCAAAAGGCACAAGGTTGGTGGCACGTATGTTCAGAAGGTTATCATGGACACCCGGAAGATTATGTTGGAGACAGGACCTTGCAGCGCGTTCTGGACGAAGGGCCTTTTAGGGAATCAGTGGCTTTCTGCGGTGACTTGAAGCTCGAAGTTGGGTTTGACTATTCCTTGGAAAATCATTCAGGAGGATGGTGGCTTCCTCTATTCCTGAGCTGGTCTCCAAATGCAATGGACTGACGCGGTTAGATACCATTTCGTGCCAGACGGCTCGTTCGATGACCCGTCCCCCATCTTTATCCTTTCTGGATGGATCATGTCATGCATGAATTGAGCTTAGTAAATAGGCAGCGGCGAATGTGTATATGACGATGGAAGTGGATGACGACTGGAGCAGTGTTAAGAACGATTTACGAGGTTAACTGGCAGGGGCCTGGTGTGCCCAAAGGCAGATGTAAACAGCTTAATTCCAATTGACATGAGCTAGGCATAGTGTCAGATGTATTTGACTGACAACTGTTCTTTGCGTGAGACATGGTAGAAGGAGTAGAATCAATGCTATGGACCTACAGGACGAGCAAGCATGACTCGACGAACGGCTGCGATTCACCACGTGTTTCGCTGTCACTGCAGTTGGTCCTTGCCGTTCAATTCTCCGATGGAAGGGCCGGTGGACCACGAGCGGATCGAATGAGTTCCGGGCTGCATACACGTAGATAAATACATGGACGATCGAGATGGCTTGGCAACCGCGATCAGCATCAGTTCCTGGGACTTTGAGGACATCGCTGAGGACGATCCTTGTAGACCACGAGGAGGCTGGAACACATTGCTTCTTCATCAACACCAACGAGCTGGGACTGGCCGTCGTAAGGTCCTTGCGCATACGTGCCCTCCTAAGTAAAGTGCTTATCTCAACTTAACCAGAAGAGCAAGATCTTGGTTCAGACGGCTTATCCTGGTCCGAGGCTCCCCGTCCGAGGCTGGCTCAGTCGGCGTCCGATATGACGGACGCTCGAGATTGGAGGCGCTTGCTGCACGTGCTAAGGATGAGGAGCAGCCCTAGCTTCGGCGCCAGGGCGTCCCAACCAATGCAGGAGCGCATTGAGTCCGCGATGCACGGCCCTCTGATGCAGCGATGGGATGCACGCAATTGATAATAAATCTGAGGCGGCGACATGAAGCCGCGCCGGACAGGTGGTGCTGCACCTTGGGGGGGAGAGAGTACGTACTTCTCGCACTCAGTGAGCCGGGATTGGGGATCCACATTGAACAGTCAGCGATCCAATGAGGTGCCGTAGCAGCCGGAACTAGCCGGCAAGCGAGGACCATCTCTGGGGGTGGGAATTTTAGAGGGAAGTGGTGAATGCCACTGTCTCTTTCGCTGGTGACACCGTGGCGGTACTTGCTGCGCGGTGATGCACGGGTGATGTCAGAAGTACCGCGACTGGAGCACCCCTGGCGAGAGTGGACTTGGTGATGTTCATTTCCACCACCCATCAATCCCAAGTGCCCTGTTCCTGGATTCCGCCGCTCCGTCCGCCTCCTTAAACCTTTGCGAGAGTGAGCGAACCTGACCAGACCAGACCAAACCAGACCAGGCCAGGCCGCCCTGTTCCCGTCGCCCTGCACTCACTGCATGCACCACACCGACGCGACGCCGCTTCTCCTGTTCTGTCCCTTCATTGTCTTGGCTCCAACTCTCCAAGTTTGCACAGCCAGTCAGTCTTGTCTTACCTTACCAATCCCCTCCTGGTTCTACTATTTGTTGCTATTGAAACAGAAAAAGAAGGCCGTGTTGTTTTGCTGGCTAGCAACCCGCCCGTTATCGTTCATCATTTAATCGTATCGACAAGACATTGACAGCCAGGTCGGACAGACGGGTTCCCTGTCAAGCTGTCAAGGGTGGATTTGAAGCAGCAAATACCTCCTTGGCTTACCGTACTGAATACGTGTTGGTGTGTGGCAGCGTCAGTGTCGTGCCGAGCAGGTCACCAAGAACAGAGAGGACAAGGGCTTAGACGGCATCGCTCGCATTTTGCCAATCCAATCCATCCAACAATTCCTGGCTGCGCTGCGTCACTCGTTCTGCAGCAGCTGCATCAATCACCGATCCCGCCGGGCTGGGCTTTTCTGAGCCAACCCTCTGCCATCCGACTGGACTGCCACACAAACCGCAATACGGATACGTCGTCTTTTTTTCCCCAACGGAAAGTACTCTCCGCACTGCAACGCACCGCACCGCACCTCATCGCATCGCCGCCATTTTTTGGGGTCAGCAACCTTTACCCTCCCTCTCCCTTCCGACCTTCCCAAGGGATCCGATTGTCTTCTTTTCTCCCCGCCGTCCCGCCCTGCGACCGAACGACCGAACGATCGAGCTAGCTCGTTATATCCCTTGGCAAATACTGCAACCGCCTGGGCGCCGGAACTCTGCTCCTGCAAGAGAGCAACCGCGGAGTTTACATCATCAACCACTCCTGCAGACGCACCCCAAACACCCACACACAAGGACTGGTTCACGACATGGCGCGCTCGGATCGTTGGAGGCGGAAGTAAATGTGCGGGATTCCATAGAGATCTGGTTCTCTCCAGGCACGTTACCCTCCTTTTTTTTTTGTCCTCCGTGTCCGCCGTCTTGTCCCTCCGTTGCCCCCTCCATACCCACTCCGTTCCGGGAGCTGTTGGACTAATCTTGCGGCGGTGGTGGTACAGATACTGAACCGAGCTTTCGATCGCGCGAATCGACCGCGGGCTCACTATGGCTCTGCTCAACCCGACCTTCATCTTCGGCGTCATTGTCCTCCTCTACCTCTCCTCCTTCATTCTCTTCGCCGTCGTCCGCATCCTTACCGGAGTATCGATCCAGAGAATAGGCTACTTCTCCCTCCGCCGACTCGCTTATACCCCGAGAGATGGATTCAAGATTGAGATTCGGGGTTTGGGACTCAACGTCCATCGCCCGACCTTCGCCCAGCCCACATGGCTGAGCATTGTGGTCAGCGAGCTGGTCGTCACCGTCGACATCCGCGAGCTCGACGGGAAGAAGAGCGAGGATAGCTCCGGCGATTCCGATAGTACCGATGCCGAGGAGGATTCCGACACACAGCAGGCGGAACAACAGAAG